AGGGTCCTGGGATTGAGTCCCGCATTGGGCTCTCTGCTCAGCAGGGAGCCTGCTTCCCTCTCTCTCTCTCTCTCTCTCTCTCTCTCTCTCTCTGCCTGCCTCTCTGCCTACTTGTGATCTCTCTCTCTCTTAAATAAATAAATAAAATCTTAAAATAAATAAATAAATGGTGGTCATTTGAATTAAGCTCATGGTCAATAGAGCTGTGATTTTTGCTCTCTCCAGTCTGTATGTTCTAGTACAGTGAATTACAAGACCTATACCATACAAATTTGGGACAAAAGAAGTATGAATCTTTACAGAATTACTCTATATTCAGAGATCTCTCAGTTTCTGAGCGGGAAGTTGAGACTCATGTCCTCACCCTGCCTTCCTGTGTTTTCTTTTTGTTTTACTATCTCCCTAAGACATTAGTGGACAGACATGACCTGAGTTAGAGGAGCTGGAAAAATACTTACTGTTTTCCCAGACATCAAGTACAATAAGGTTCATCCTGAATTAAAAGCACTCATTTGCAATCCTGTCAGCAGGCAATAATATGTTTCAGTCAGTGTAAACAGTAACACATGTACCTAGGAGTCACTAAGAATTACATAATTTTTCAGTTGGAAGAATTCTTAAAAGTGCAGTTGCTCACTTACGATAAACACTTTTTGTTCAGCTTTCTTACCAAATTATGGCCCCGCAAATTATGTAGCCAGTGCTGTGGGGAATAATTTTAAATATTAAGGATTTTTATAATGGGGTTTTATTATATCTAAAACCCAGATTAATCCAGTGACTTTCTGTCAGAGAGCTACTTTTAGTTAAAACTTCTTCAAAACGTCTTCTTAGTTAATAGCAAAATTCTTAATTCTTAATTATGCAAATTTCTTAATTAAGCAAATTCTTAATTAAGCAGAATTGTTAATTAAGCAATATTCTTAATGTTAACTCTCCAGCAAACTGGAGAGAGTGGGTATGGAGAGAGGGTGAGACTCCCGAAGGCTTAACTTCCTGTATTTCCATACTTTTTTACAGCAGAATGCAGATTTTTTAAAAGTACAGTATTTTTTAAATCAGCAAAAGCTTCGCATTTTTATTTTCACGAAAAAAAAAGAAGACATGGTAACTCTTTGATTTATATCTTCCAGTTGTTTAGAACATGAATATTTACAATTTGTACTAGAGTTCCCAAAATTATTGTTAGCTTATAATTTAGTATGGAGAAATGTTATCACTGGGGCGCCTGGGTGGCTCAGTGGGTTAAGCCTCTGCCTTCGGCTCAGGTCATGATCTCAGGGTCCTGGGATCAAGTCCCGCGTCAGGCTCCCCGCTCTGCGGGGAGTCTGCTTCTCCCTCTCTCTGCCTGCCTCTCTGTCTACTTGTGATCTCTCTCTGTCAAATAAATAAATAAAATCTTGGAAAAAAAAATGTTATCACAAGCATCATCTCCTTTGAATTAATTGAACTCATCCCCATTTACAGATAAGAAAACGAAGTTAAGTTGCCAGACTCTGCTCTTAAGATAATTAAACTCAAACCCACATCTGATTTCAAACTGAATGTTGTTTTTACTACCCTAACCACCTTCTTGATAGTTTCCTCAACACAACATTGCTACAGATATACAGTCCACATATGCCAAGGAAACATTAATTGGGTGTCACGGTAGCTTCCAGGCTCATTCAAAGTGTGTGCCTTTATTTCTTCCCTTGCATCCTTAATATTTAAGATGTTTGGAAATACAGCATTAATTGTGGTAGATTTCATCCCTACATCCAATCATCAGCAAACACTGTATGCTTTACCTTCAACTCTTGTAACAGCTTCCCAGCTGCTCCCATGGGCTCTGATTTCACTCTTTCCTCCTTACAACCTAGTCACCACCCAGTAATCAAGTGCGGTGTTTTTGTTTTTGTTTTTTTAAGATTTTATTTATTTATCTGAAAGAGAGAGAGTGAGAGAGAGCATGAGAGGGGAAGAGGTCAGAGGGAGAAGCAGACTCCCTGCAGAGCTGGGAGCCCAATGCGGGACTCCCCCTGGGGACTCCAGGATCATGACCTGAGCCAAAGGCAGTGGCTTAACCAACTGAGCCACCCAGGCGCCCAAGTGAGATTTTTTTTAAAGTGTAAGTCTGATCAAGGCATGTCTGTCTGTCCCTTTATCACTCACAAGTGTGGTGGGTCCTCACAAGTGTGATTTGCTTGTTTTATTTGCTGGGTACTTCAATTTCGACTCCTATCACTCTCTCCCGGGCCCCCTGGACTCCATTCACACAGGCCGCCTCTGCTTTGCTTTACACACATTGACTCCGCTCCCATTTCAGGCTCTTTGCCTTTGCAGCACTCTAAGCCTAGAACATTCTTTCCCAGATCTATCTGTACTAATGCTCTCCCTTTTCATTCAGATCTCTGGTCAATTATCCCTTCTCAGAGGTCTTCCTTAACCTAAATCCCATATAAAGTAGTACCTCCTTCACTCTCTATCCCTTTATCCGTGCTTTATTTTCACATAACACCAGATATATTTTTAAGATGCATTTTATATAATCATATATTTGTCAATTGTCAGTCTTCCATCATTAAAAAAGAGAAATCGCCAAGAATAGGGACTTTGTTCTTCTTACTACTGGATTGGAAGGGTGTAGGACAGCTCCTGACATAAAACTAGGCATTTACCAATCATGTGAATGAATCTTTCATTTACATTCTTAAGCACTTTTTGCTTCACTTAGTTTTCCTCCCTTATAGTACTATTACAATTCCACCCAGGCTTTTAAGCAAAGATGCTTTTTATAAGTGGATACATGTTAATCATCATTACGAGGCATTGCTATAGGGGTCACTGTGTTTATTTTAAATATTTTATTTATTTATTTGACAGAGCGAGTGAGAGAGCACAAGCAGACAGAGTAGTAGAGGGAGAGGCAGAAGCGGGGAGCCTGATGTGGGTCTCAATTCCAGGACCCTGAGATCATGACCTGAGCTGATGGCTGATTCTTAATCATCTGAGCCACCCAGGCACCTCAGGGGTCACTGTGTTTAACGCATAGGGAAAGTGGACACTCCAAGCAAGTCCCAAAGTGAATCCTACCAAGAGTCTCTGTGCACAGAGAAAGCAGCTAGGGAGGAGATGGGATCAAGGGCAGAGCTTATAGGAAGAGAGGGGAATGAGGTTCTGTTTAGGAGTCCTGAATTGAAACCGGTGTTGTCAATGTAATTAAACCCATTCTGTAGTCTCACGGACCAGCTTATCCCCCACTCTGCCACCTTCCACCCAAGCAGTAAAAATACATTTTACACTTTACAGTTCTAGACTTATTAAACAATTAAAACAAAGACTTTTTCTTAGCAAATCAAACTTCAAGGCTGACTTTATTATCTCCTTTCATTTTTATTATTGAATAAATTAATTTTCCCTGCAATATGAGCAGGGTTTTTCCCTCTCTGTTGTCATGACATTATATGCTTTGACCCAGGTGATTATTTTCTTGCAATGGAGGGTGGGTAGAAAAAAAAAAAATCCCATGCTGGGATGATGCATGTGGTTGAGCTCGCTAAAATACTTTTTCCTTTTTGCCTTACAGTCTCTTTGCCCACATCCAGTTCAGAGGATGCTAATATAAACCTTGCCCACCTCTCTCAGCCCATCTTTCTTACTCAGACAGTTCCCCAGCAGCTTTCTGATGGAGACACACTCTTCCGTTTCCAGGACAAACTGTGCCACGGCCTTCCGTCCTGGCAGCTGGCCCCGCACGGTCTCACTTTTGACACTGTCCAGGACCACTCCTCTGATGTCTTTGGGCTTACCTGGCACCCCAAAGATGATAAACAGGCCCAGACAATCATCTCCTATCAAGTGACAGAATTCTTCCAGCTTATCAAATCGACTTCTCTTCCTGGAAGACCCCTCTGCCCTGGATTCTGGAGGGGACATGTCACAGGGCTGAGATGCCACAGGAGGGAGGGAAGACATCTGCAGAGTTTGCACTGCCAGCTGAAGCCTGATCTGTTTGTCGGCTCCCCAGAAGGTCCAAATCCAGTCTGCCCCGAATAGTACAGCTTGGTGCTTGGTCATCTTGGTGGTGGTGAGCCATTCGTCCACTCCCTTGTCTTGGCAGAAAGTGATGAAGTGGATTAAGAAGATCTCGTTCAGAGTGTTGGAAGCTGGGCACAGATTGCTCAGAGGATCTTCGAATCCAAGATACTCGCTCACTTTCCGAGCTGCATGGACTATAGCCTCGCTGACAACCTCACAGACGCTGGAAACCTCTTTGCTGTCCTTCGGAGGCAACTGTTGCGATGAGTTTTGCCCCATATTTCCTCTGCACCTGATCAATACTGCCTCCAGAGATCGAATGTATGAAGCTCATGCAGAATGACTTCTTCGGAGTAGAAGTTTTACAGTGTTTTACAGTGAAGTCATGTCTGGTAATGCAGTCCCAGTTTTCCGACTCAGCATTGACGTGGCGTAGCTGAGCATATAGACACACAGCTAAACAAACATGCCCAGTCTCTCTGTTTGCCAACGAGGTGTGTTGTATTCACACATTCCTACTGGTTTATTAAGTTAGAGATGATTAACTCTCACCAAAACATCTGTTCTTCTCTAGCGATGTTCACTCCACTTCTAATATTGGGCAATCTCTTCCAAGATAGGTTTCTGCTTTTCTAATTTTACTTAAAGACAGTATTTAGTTCTTTAAAGAAACCTACATCTCCTTCTAAAACGAACTTCTTCAATTTTGATGGTGAGTCATTTTCCTTTGCTTTTCTAGTAACCCCTCTGCTAGGATTCCTTACGCCCCACCCAGTCCAGCTGCCTATTTCCTTTTGTACAGAAATTTCTCAGAGCCCTCAAATTTCCACCTGTCAATATATGCTATACTCCTCCCCCATGAAATTTATGGGAGTTTGCAAATGATAAAGCATCTGTGTCACTGTTCTAATAGGTCAGAAATAAAGCCTACTGGGTATTCTGCACAAAGGAAAATAAAGTCACAGAGCATAAAAACAGGAGACAATTATCAACTGACTTTATTTCTTTTCATATGGTAAAACCAGCAGTGCACAATGTTTTGTAAATAAAATATATCTCATCAAAAAAAACCTTAACTTTATCACGTATCATCAGTTATGTTACACTGCCCTGAATAAAGAATATTTGGCATATCTAACAGTCTTCTGGCACATTTTTTTTAAACCAGGTTTGAATAAGAAATTGTTTTTCAAATGGTGACATATGTTCACATTAAAAAAAATACTAATATGTAAGAGTCCAATACAGTTACCAGACAATGAATAGTAGAGAGTAAAGGATTATTATTAGCATCAGATCATTTTAGTCACAAATAAACAGTAATTTGGTATTACAGGCCCTTGTTTAAAAGCTTGGTAACCTGCTAAGAACTTGCAAGATCACACCACTGATATTCAAATAGAATTTATAAGCAAATCCACGAGCACATACTGAACTGCCTCTCCCCACACCAATTTGTGACAACGTGTCTTTACCATGTTGGCTATCATGGGAAGTGATGTAGTAGTGAATAAAAAATAGGATATTTTTTTGACTACCCCTAAAAAAAAATGATAAACACAGTAAGTTTTTGCCACAGCTATTTCCTTTAGAAATAAATGTCATCTGGGCCCTGTGCTAAAAACATGAATTACATTTTCTCGTCACAATATAGCCATTCTAAAACTCATTGTGCAGCCTCAGCATTACTGAACTCTGAGACGAAATGCTCAGATGCATATTCAGCTTAACAAAATCCCATCCACTGATAACCTGAGAAATATACAATTAATAACAGTAGGTAGATTCTTAGTATTTTGATGTCATGAGATACTCAGCAAGAAGGAAAATAAGCAGCTTAATACTGTGAAGGTTTTTGTTTTGGTCTGGTTTCTTCAGAAATTTCTACAAATTTGGGGGGGACCTTCTGAATGCATTTGAGTTAATAGTATTCAAATGTCCCTGGTGTTCTTCCTTTTGAAGCTAAAGGATCCAAGATGAAGGCTGAAACTTTTTTTTAACTCTTCAACAGTTAATTGGGTGATGTGTCATCAGAGAAGGGGTATTTCATATATCCTAATTTAGTTGGGATGATCAATATTAACATCATTTTTAATATCATTAAAATTCAGTTGTGGAAAAGGAGAGATCATCCCAACCTTTCGAGGACCAGCTGGTGTATATGACCGTTTGGAGCACTGTATTCGCTTTTCATCGTCTCCCGTATGTCACAAAATAAAAGTTCTGTTTTCTATGTACTAAATATATACACGTATTTAGAAAAATATATAAAATAGGACAAGAAGAGGCAAGTGGAGGTGGCCGCTGGCATTTAGCAGGCGCGTGGAACACTTGAGGAAATTCCACATACGGATTCTGAAAGCATGTAATGTCCTGTGCTGACAGCTACAGCGCGGTCACACAGACGTGATGAGATCATCCACGCACTGCTTCCTGATCCCCAAATCCCGTGTGCTGTTGAATGGGAACGTGAAACGCTACAGTAAAACACTCATATTAAATGCAACACTTTAAATATAATATATCACAGATTTTTTACATTAAATAGAGGACAGACCACTACACTCTCATTCACCAGTGTCTCATTTTTCATGGCGTCTTCGGAATAGGCACACGCTGCCCCCCCCCAACCCAGCCCTCCGCGTCCACTTCTGAGAAGGTGGAATGATCAATAGTATATAATCTGCTGCTTGTTCTAGATTCTTTGAGTTGTTTGAGAAATCAGGTGGAGGAAAGCCGAGGGGCTCCTCATGCTCGTCCAAGTGCTCAGATTAAACATTGGAGTCCTCGTCAGTGATGCTGGCACTGGGGGAACGGGCGGCAAAATCCCGAAACATGTCGTCCTCCTTTAACATGTGCTGGAAAACAAGGAGACGGGGTCATGAAACAGGAAGCCAGGAGCTCAGCACGACACACACTCCACTAAAACATGCAGTCCTTTGGGGTTATTTTAAACATCTTTTTAGAATAACATTTTTTTTTTAAACTTCTTCTCATTTTTAAAGATTTTATTTTTAAGTAATCTCTACCCCCAACGCGAGGCTCGAAGTCACAACCCCAGGGATCAAGAATTGCACGCTCCACCAACAGAGCCAGCCAGGTGCCCCTTTAGAATAACATTTTAACTTCATTTTACAGACTTACTGTTAGATTGTTGATGCCTTCGGAGAATGCCCCTATCTGTCTCACCGTACCTTCTGAATCCTCCATCTGTAAAGAACACACCCATCACGTGACCTACTCGGTTGCATCATTTCAAAGAAAGGACAGCAAAATGAGCAGAAGTCAAAGAAGAAATAATGCAAGTGATACGAAACGGGCTGGGAGCAACAGAACACTTCTGAGGATACCTCCTTTCGTTACAGCAACCAGAGGCTAAGAATGAGCCCAAATGACCCTTTACTGGCACATCTAGCCTAATGCTCTGATATTGACAACGACATCAAAGGATTGGTGACTAGGGGGCAATACTCAAATCCAGGACTTTGCATTGAAAAGACTACATGAGCTGTGTATTTCCACTTGACTTAATACACAGATTTCCATAACCCAGAGACAGTATAACATCAGTAAACAGCCCAGCCTGGCAGCTTGGAAGCCCAGGTCTTCGAGCCGCTCTTCTACCTCAGGTAAGAATTACTCAGCCTCTCCGTGCCTCAGTGTCCTTCCCCCTACACTGAGGATGACAAGACTCTGTATGTTTTACTGTCACCGTGAAAGCTGATACATGTTAAGTGCTGAGGATAGTGCCTGGGACATAGCAAGCAACCGGGAAGCTATTGACTATTTTCTTATTATCTTTATTTTCAGATATTAGAGAAAAAACTGATTAGTAGACACAGTGCAGCAAGTTTCCATTTAGTGTTTCACGGCTGGAGGAACTTGAAAGAAAACAGGCATGTCCTATTGCCTTTACCTGCTCCAACCGGTCCAAATCATCTTCGTCATACAGGCGCATGTCCAATCCAGGTTTAAATCCCTTCTTAGAGGTACTTCCTGATGTATGTCCCAGTTCCATTGGACAAACATATTCTTCCCCATCTTCCTGTCTCTTCTTTCTCAGATTCCCAAAATTGCTGAAGGTAAGTTTCCTTGGCTTTAAAAGAAAAGCAAACATCCAGGGATTTAATAAAACTCATATGGCAGAGAATTGAGAATATGCATGATTGAATTATTCACTCCATTTACAGAGAAAAGTAACTGGATGATTAAATTGGTGTGACAAAAATAAAAGCACCCTGTGTGTGTATGATTGATGTGCCCAAATATAATAAATGATCCAGATTATGAATCTCAGAAGATTAAGCTTGTTCTCCTTATTCACCCCAATTAGCTGCGCAGTCACTGTGATAAGCAAAAAAATGCCAAGAACCTTAATTTTGATTAAACAGGACTTACTGCAATGATATTTCTCAGGGATGAATCCAGTTTTGCAAGGTTTTCCCATCTCAGATCAGGAAAAGAGAATGGTCCTAACTGTGTTTTCTTTTCGGGGGAAGCTATGATTATCCTGTATGCCCGCTATGCTTCCATAACAGAACTGAGGTTGCTAAAGGAATCCTCGCTTGTTTGGAGAGAGAATTTCTAATGATACTTGGAAGAGAAACTCCATCTTAGTCACTGCATAGTCCCTGAGACTATCTGTTCAGCAGATGGTGATCAGGCTGATGTTGAGAATTTAAATAGAACAGAGTCTTTCAGAAGTTTCAAATCTGGCAGATCTTTTAAGAGAGAAAGGGAGCTAATGAGAAAGTGTCAGGCAGGTAGAGGAGGTAAAAGAGAGAGAGAAAGAAATATCTATGTATATAAAGAACTTGGTACAAATTTGCAGAACAGCTGATAAACCCTATCTCCACATTAAGTTGGCTGAGATAACAGACTCAGAAGAGTTCACAGAGAAATGACTGAAAAGAAGAAAATGTAATCTGAATTTGGTATGACCCATGAATCTGGGTATACCTGGAAACAGCCATTCTCTGTTGGTCTACCTTGAATCATTTCTTAAGTATCTTTTTCTAACTTGCAAGATTGGTTCATTGCAAGCCAGACAAGTTGAATCTGTGTGAGAAATCTTACTCTTCAGCTGGATTTATCCATAGAACAACTGCAATCAGTGTTTGAGCTCAAGTCATGGACTCTGCATTAGCAATACATTGACTGCACGCCGTCATCCTCTTCATCACTGTTGACTCTTAATAAACAATGTGAGCAAAGGTTCCCCCAGAAAGACACTTGCAAAGATGCATTTTCTTAATTACTCTTAAAGATGCACAGACCATTAACACATCCACAAGACTCAGTAAACTCCAGAAAATGGGACAGTCGGGTCAAAACCAAGCCCCAGCTTTAGTTTTTGCTTTAACCAGTTATTAGAAGACAGAAGCCTGAACCAACCTTCACTTTGGCCGTGGCTGTCAGGAGTACATAATCTGGTAACTCCATGGCATCACGCTTTTGGTGCTGGGCCTCAGCCCCGATCAGAAGGTTGAAATGAGTGGCCAAATGTCTTCGCAAGAGGGTCTTACTTGGTGGGATGTTCAATAACTGAGCCATTGTTTCTACATTAAAACGAGGTTCTAGAACCTATAAAAAAAAATTACAGTCGTTTAAGGCACTGTGTATCATACATGTCTGCCCTGCTCAAAGCTCCTTCATTTAGTCATCACCAATGATCCCGCAACAGCCCAGAGAGACAGAGCGTAGACTTAGATCTTCAAGCTATGTATCTTTATTTTGCCTAAGCTAGTGAGAAGTAGAGCCGTTCCCAACATCCATGCATTCCAAAGTTAGGGCTTGTAGCTCCCCGAAGTGGAGCCTTTGGAAGGCAACTCCTTACATCACTGTGCAGAAATAAAATCTGGATGTGGCAGGTGTTTCAAAACAGGATCCCATGAGAACCAGTGGCCAGATGTCACATAAGATAAGAGACAATGAATAAGAAATGGATTGAAATCTGATCTAGCCCTATATGATACAAATAAAAATATGGGGAAAAATACTCGGAAAGTAAAGACTCCCTAGAAATGGTTACAGGAGGGTTCAGTTTGATGATGCTAGGATTATGACAAGCAAACCGATAACGTCCTAACTCATTCGACTGATGGAAACAAAATGAGAAGAAGTCAGTTTTTCAATTAAAATAGAGTTTTACCATGAGCCCACCATGGACACCACTGCCTCTGAGATTGGGGGCATATTCTGCCAAGTCCACGGAGCGCAGCCATTCCATCACCCGGTGATTGGTCCACTGCTGAACTTCGGATGGGGTGACGCTATTCTGTGAGAACAAACAACCACCAGGAGCTTCAGTCATGAGAAACTGTGGGCTCTGAGAAACAAACGGAGGGTTTTGGAGGGGAGGGGGATTGGGTGAGCCTGGTGGTGGGTATTACGGAGGGCACGTATTGCATGGAGCCCTGGGTGTGATACATAAACAATGAAATCTGGAACATTTTATTTTTTGTGAAAAAAGTAAAATAAAACAAAATAAAAGGAGCTTCAGCCTATTGACTGTGGGATCCCAAACACTCAAACTGCACCTTCTACAAAGTCTGCCTTCTAGAGCACAATTCACTCGACATCCCGCTAAGTGTTTACAGAAAAGGTGAAAAGGGGTCTGCTAAGCTCAATTTTGTTTTGAGGCACCCGTGCCAGTGTTCCAAGCTTTTTTCACAAACTCATGAAGCAGTGCTTTAGGAAAGCAAGTCTCTAGAGTGATATTTAACTCTGTGGCTTAAGGAGACAGGAAAATAAAAGATACCCGAGAAAAGGAGGGAGGGAAATTAAAACACAATCACAGGTAGAGCCATCACAATGGGGGCGGATATAGGAAAATAAGGCCCGAGAAGGTAATGAGGCTGGACTTGAGGCTCTGAGGATGACAGAAGCCTTCCCTGCCGGCCCCATGAAGACTCGTGTGTCTGTTTTGCCCGCACAGCTGTCCCGTGCACGGGGAGCGCATGCAGCGGGAATCTCAACCTCAGGTGCTACCTCGTCAGACGGCCGCCTCCGGAGACAGTTCGGTTCAAAGTTATTGATCCTCAGGACCTGGATAGCCCTTTTGATACTGAGATGGTGTAGCACACTCACGACCTTCAAAGACAGTAAGTCATCCTGGAAAAAAAAAAAAAAAAAAAAAAAAAAAAGAACAAAAAGAGGAGGTCACTGAGCTGGCCTAGAGCAGAAGGACCTTCTCAGGGAAATTTCAGAAAACACAAGTAAAACTAGGAAACCCCTCTACCAACAGGCCTCGAGCGCTTGTATTTTCAAACCCTTTATTTGGTGACAGAACATTTTTTTCCTGTTCCCAACAAAATCCTCTCCAGGACCCCAAATTAAAAACAACAACAACAAAATTAATGTTGTATCAACAGAAGCCAAGTTTCACCTGTTTCTCTTCCAGACACTTTGAAACAGGATTGTGAGACCCCACAGCTCTGTAGAACACAGTTTGAAAGGAATCGGCTGGGTCACACTTTGATTTGGTGTGATATAAAGCAAAGAGCTAAGAGCACATGATGTTCAGTGAGGACAGCAGAGCTGGGTTTGCTGAACTAAGGCACATCACCATTTGGGGGAAAATCAGAAAAGTATCTCTGTTATAGTATTCCCCAAGCCTCAAGGAATCTCTAGTTCTTGATTATTATGCTCTATCCGGCAGAGACTGTGAATAATTTTGGGAAAATTGTGTTGATCGATGCGAAGGTTTTGGTGAGAGTTCAAGAGAAAGGAGACATGAAGAAGTTATTAGTAGCAACATGTATCACCATCAATTCCTTCCAGGTGTAACTTTCCTCAGTCTGTGGTTATTGGGAACATTTCAAACATACCAAACACACCAAAACAAATTATTTCAGAAGGTGATGTGGAGGGCAGTGTCAAGATAAGCACCAATCTATTTCCAAACACACCCAGAAAATAAAATAAGAAAAATACCCATTTTAGACACACCTTAATGATAAACACATTAGTTGGTGGGGGCGGGGGGAGGTGATAATCTATTGTAGAAATAGTTTTTAAATAAAAATATTGGACAATCAGCTTAAATTCTTAAAGCTACTAAGCAAAATTATTTCCTGAATTTTTTTCTGGATCAATTTCTTATAGGCACTTCCTTATAGTAAGTTGGAAGGCATTCAACACATTTTAATCTAAGATTGAGACACCCATTCAAAACATTTCCACGTGGGTCAGTTTCAACTAATTAAAGTTTTTCAGATTTAAAAAAATCTAAATACATAATGATTACAATGTAAATACAATGCAAATTATTTTAGCTTGAGAGATTTTTTTTTTTAAAGCAGGGGCTGTTTTAAATCAAAACAGATACTTTTTTTAGATTTTTTTTTAAGGTTTTTATTTATTTATTTATTTGACAGAGCGAGATCACAAGTAGGCAGAGAGGCAGGCAGAGAGAGAGAGAGAGGAGGAAGCAGGCTCCCCGCCAAGCAGAGAGCCCTATGCGGGACTCGATCCCAGGACCCTGAGATCATGACTTGAGCCGAAGGCAGAGGCTTAGCCCAATGAGCCACCCAGGCGCCTTTTTTTTTTTTTTTTTTAAAGATTTTATTATTTGACAGAGAAAGAGATCACAAGTAGGAGATAGGCAGGCACAGAGAGAGAGGGAGAAGCAGGCTCCCTGCTGAGCAGAGAGCCCGATGTGGGACTTGATCCCAGGACCCTGAGATCATGACCTGAACCGAAGGCAGGGGCTTAACCCACTGACCCACCCAGGTGCCCCTAAAAAAATCTTTTAGGTAATTTTAATTTACCAAAGAGCTGCCAAAGAGAGATAATCGTTCCATATATCCTTCACTCAGCTTCCCCTAATGGCTAACACCTTCTATAACCATGATATAGTCATCAAAACTGAGGAATTAACATAAACAAAAAATGGTAATTAAAACTACAGACTTTACTCAGATTTCACCAGTTTTTCCACTAGGTCCTTTCTCTATTCCAGGATCCAGCCCAAGATACCGTGTTCAAATAGGTATTTTTGTGACTCAGAACTTCTGGGGTCAAATTTTCTAAGATGATTTACTCTTTTATAGTCACAAAATTTATATGCACATTTCTTGTGGTTTTAAGCCTGAATCTGCTCACGTTCCTGCAGAAGCATACCTACCTAGACAGGCAGGCAAGTATTTACTGAATTTGTTCCAGGCTGAGCTATTAAGAGGAGGAATCTGGAAACATCTTAGGTTCAAATACCCTGTGACTTTCGACTACTTTCTGGCTGTGGAAACTTGGTTGAGCTTCCCCGTTTCTCAAGTTTCTCATTCCCTCATCTAAACACTGGGGGATAACAAGAATGTCACCTCAAGGCTTGCTGAAACTGGAGTATTCATAGGAGTACGGAGCTTGAAAGAGTGTCTGGCACATAGTATACATGCAATGTGCCACACACTAGTGTTATTACAAGCAGGTTTATGCCATGTGCCCACCAAGGTAAGGACTTTGGTTCAATGACAGAGAAGAAAACGAATCCCATGAAAGGAACCCCACAGTTCTTTGACATTGAAAAATTAGCTGTTTGAAATTTTCAACAAATTTTTTTTAAAGATTTTATTTATTTATTTGACAGACAGAGATCACAAGTAGGCAGGGAGGCAGGCAGAGAGAGAGAGGAGGAAGCAGGCTCCCTGCCAAGCAGAAAGCCCGATGCAGGGCTCAATCCCAGGACCCGGAGATCATGGCCCGGGCTGAAGGCAGAGGCTTTAACCCACTGAGCCACCCAGGCGCCCCGAATTTTCAACAAACTTAAAGAAGATACTTCTGGGAGTTGGTTCCAGAGCGTAGCTCACAAAAGGCCTTTTAAAGAAAAGAATGTAAAGCAGCAGTGCACTAACAGGACTGTGGAATCTAGAACAAGTTCTCCTGGAAACCATCTCTCTCACTGTTGTAAAGTCCTTCTACCTCTTAGATGGAAGGATAAAAATACAGAACAGTAATGCAGGAATCAGAGAGAGTCCACCTCACCCTACTTCTTGCCTCTGCGATTCCTCCCCTAGTGGAACGGGGCTAAAGAGAGAAAGGAGGCAGGTTTTGGGTAACATTCTCCAAAGCGGAAGGGAGGAGAGGAGACGAGTCTCTAGATGTCAGGTCAAAAGGGTGGTCTCTTCTGAGCAATCACTGCATATAGAATGTGTTACTCAGAAATTCCCAGGGCTTCGACACTCTACACTCTATTTTTTAAACATCTTTAGGAGAGGGGCACCTCGGTGGCTCAGTGAGTTAAGTGGCCGCCTCCGGCTCAGGTCAAGATCCCAGAGTCCCGGGACCATCTCACATCAGGCTCCCTTCTTAGTGAGAGTCTCCTCCTCTCTCTGACCCTCTCCCTGCTCGTGCTCTATCTCACTCTCTCTCTCAAATAAATGAATAAAATCTAAAATAAAACAAAGCATCTTTATGACATATAATTCGCATATGAAATTATGCGAAAATTTACCCCTTCAAAGTGTGCACTCCAGTGTCTACATTGTTGAATATACATAAAACCATTTTCCTGGAGAGCTGAGTTTAGATTAGCCTTCACACAGCTTAAATCAAAGTTTTAAATTTCCCAACGGTACTGCAATCACCAAATCCTCTGACTTCAACTTAACAGAAACTCTTCTGGCTCTTCTTAAGTTAAGGCAACACCCTGAAACTCTAGTGGAATCATTGTGAAAACAATGTATTTTGCTCACTATTTCTGTGTCTTTCCAGAGAAAAGCAATTTGACACTCCCCTTCCCCAACTCCCAGGAGCCAATCACTTACAACAGTCATGTAATGGAGCATTCGACCATCTACCCGACCTTCGTCAAACTGGGTCTTGTACTGGGGGAGACCAATGTCATCCAACCACCCTACAGGAGAGAAATCAGTGTTGTTAGTAAGCCACGCAACACCTGTACTTGTGATTCAAAAGAAAAAGCAGCTTCATTCATTTATTCATTCATTCAGTCATTATTTCATTTACTCATTCATGAATGAGAGAATTTAAAACCTCTTACTAGTGACCCAGTTGAAATCCAGCTTTCCATGGTTGGTTTCTTCTTCAGACCCCAGGGCTTGCAGTGCCAGCTGGAGCTTCTTTCGATGAAGTGAATGCTTAATCCCAAGTTCCTGAAATAATAAGCAGAAACACTGGTTTTACCATTCTGTCACTATGGGCTAGATGCCACTGGCAAAAGATGCCAGTTCCCCCCAAACGAAGCCAGTGTTAAAGACCCGACAATCCCATTCAGTCAGCATACCAAGTCGGGTTGGTGAAATGTTGCTGAACAAAAGGCCCCTAAAAAGCCAAGACCACAGCAACTAGTTTAGTGGGATGCTCCATTCCCTAGTAGGCTCCTTCCTCGGCAAGACTGGAATTCTACTCTTTCTGTACAAAAGGTTAAACAATTAGGAAATATGTTAAATAATTTGATGTAAGATGTAGGGCTCTTTCCTTTTCCTTTTTGCAAAGTAAAGCTGAATTGCATACTTTACACTGAGAAGTTGGGCCAATGCTAAAGCCTCACAAAGATTCTGAGAAATACGAGCTTAAGGTTTATTATTATGTCTATACAATTATTTCTCATTAAAAATGCCCAGTGGCTTACATGTTTCATAAGGAATCATTAAGATCAGGTCCTTCTTGTTAAATCCATGCAATTAAATTAAAAAAAAAAAAAGTGTGAAGCAGAAAACACAAAGTTTTTCAAGAGTACTGATTAGCTCCCCCCACTCCCCTTTCTGGAGTATAAAACAATTCTACATTTTATTCTCTTTCTCAGTAGCCATTGTCTAAACAAAACAGAGAAGCAGTCACCTTCTCCAGATCTTGCTGAGAAGCCTGCAGAAGTGTTTGGCCAGATGCAATCCAGTGCTTGCCCGAATTCAGGTAGGACCCCAAGCCCTGTTCCACAAGCCAATTGCAAACCTGCTCCTTGGTCCATTTGGCAAATGGCATATCCAAGTCGCTATAAGAAAACGAACAACTGTGTGAAGAACAATTCCAAGCCAGCCCTGTGGCTTCTCGAGGTTGACCAACGTATACTGAATTAATGTAGAAATTCCCTAGTAATGCCCTATTTGACCGTGAAAAGCTTACTTTTCAGTCCATGTTTGGGGGAGGTGGTACTGGCATTGAAAATTACTTCAAAAGGACCACAGCTTTCATTTCAAATGAAACCACAGAAGATTCAATATGATTGAGCAACTAAGATATCATATGGAAGAAAAGCAAGTTGAACCAACAAGTCAAGTCACTGTACTAGTTTCAATCAACATGGTTTGAAGACTGAATCTCCAAACAGAAAACACTAGGTTAGATGGAGAGAAATCAAGTCTAAGTTGAACTAACTGTAGCAGAATTATGGTTTCTCTCCAAATGGTTATCAGTGAGGAGAGTGCAACACGCCATCACGGAGTACAGGGAAACGTAATCACAGCAATTTCTGTGTCAAATTTTCTACTCTGACATGTAAATCATGTCAGAGTAGAAAAGGAAATCATGTTCCTTTTTGGGGGGAAAAAAAATGTAGATAAACAAGACTTTTTTTTTTTTAATTTTTTTTTTTTTTTTTAAACAGCACAAGGAGATCCTCTACTGTGTATAAAGAAAACACACGGCAAATGAGACCTTCATGTGTTTGGAGAAAGCCAGGGTTTCCTCCTTGTTGAAACCTGTGCCCAGTCTTATGCGAGGGTAGGAGGGACCATGTTCCAAAGATTTAGTGTCAATGATTTGTGCTAGATGTTTGCCACCCTTCTCATGCTGAGTAGGTCAGTACAGTAATTTCAAAACAGCCCTCAATTGTGGCAAGGATGTAGGAAAAGTTCCTAGAGTCTTAACAGATAAAGCATTACACAGTCCTGATAAATTCGGGAATTCTGTTAGAATTTGTGTCTTATGAATTTATGTAGGTGCTTTCACAGAATCCATTAGTCAAAAACGTTCATCGAACAGTTACTATTTACCAGATACTCAACACATATTAACTCATTTAATCTTCACGATTAGACTAATTCATACCATGGGAAACGGCGGCACAGAGCATGGATGTAGTTGCTCAAAGTTCACCCAGGTTACAGGAAGCAGCAAAGCCAGCAATCAGATCCAAGCAGTCTGTCTCTAGAACCTACTCTTAACCGCTATGTTAGCCCATCTCTCTAGAGCTATGCTTTAGAGTACTTGGAGTAACTATTTTCTCAGTCAGACTGAAGTCAAAGAATCATTCTTGCACAGATGTTGCTGACACTTTAAGCTTCGATTCCTCCCCTGGCTCACGCAGCCCTCATCTTCTGCAATGATTTTCACCCAACATTGCCAACCTGCACTGCTCTAAAGATGACGGACCCTTCTGCCAGGCAAAAGGGTAAGCAACGGATTCTACTGCTCAGCCCAGGGACAATCCTAACACTGCAAGTGCTCACAGCCTGGACATGTGGGTAGAGATGTCAAAGTCCATTTGTTCAGTTTTTCTCACCTGTTAGATTGTCCCAAATCTCGAGACCAACCCAGTCGTGGCCCTGCAGTTGCCCTTGTCCCTCCTCTTTTAAATTCAGGCTCAGACATGTCGTCTGGGTTGAATGTAGTTGACTGACTTCTCCTAAGTCTGAACAGAAGAAACAACATCACATTGCCTTGTAGAGACCTGAGGAGACCTTAGGACTTTAAAATTAATAAGAACATTGCTTATGAATGGTCAGAAGAGACGTCTGGATTTACACTTTAACTGAGACCCAGTGAGTTAGCGAATCCCAGATCACAATCTTCCTTCCATAAAAGGAACAGCAAAGCCTTTCAACTGCATACTTGTTTCTAGGCAATCTTCCATTTATTCCTACATTCGAGCAACACACAACACAAAGCCCCCTCCATTTGTCTGCTGTGTTACTTACTTTCCAAAGAGTTTCATGATACCTCTGGATTTCTTTTTGGAATCCGGCGATGGTGGAGATATCTGGAAGGGACTGCCTCCCTGCGAATCTTTCGGCTGGGAAGATACACCAGCCAGATCTAGGTGCTCAGCTGTCTCCTTCTCTGTTTCAGCTATTCCAAGAACAGAATACATACTTGGTGAGTTTTAAAGTATGGAATGAACATGACTAGATGCTACCCTTCTTGACTTTAGTAACTGTTAACAAATTCTTCTTCTGTTGGTCTGTAAAGCAGTAATTTACAAAGAGCACCCTACAAATATTACAGATGGAACACAAATGTATGTCCTGCTCTACAGTCTGCTGTGTATCAGTGAATGATGTGTATAATATCATGTATGATATGCCTAAATTCATTAACTCAAAAATTACTACCTCTTTGAAGTTCAAAGGTGGGATAGGATTGCCACATTCTTTCTTTAAGTGATCTGAGTACATAATGAAATTAATCTCGATTTTTCCGTAGCACTTGGTACTGTTGACATTCTTCCCACATTCTTCAAAATCATCATCTCCTTCATCTTGTTAGGACAATCTCCCAGATCTGTCATCTGATCATTTCTTCTCTGCTATAGGACCTGTTTTCTCTTCTTCTTCCACTCCGAGATTCTGTTCTAGGCTCCTGCCAGCAGGATCTCTGAACAAGTTCACCCACTCCGTGCCCGGCACTAAATGATGGCTTCCCTCATTCATAAGCAGCAGGTATCACAATCTCTGGTCCTAATCTCTCTCCCCAGACTCAGGATCTGAATGTTTATGGATATTCCCAATTTGCTGTGCCAGGAACATCTTAGACTCAACAAATCCATCCAATTCTCAGAAGAATTCTCTTAGATTTTCTTATTTAATATTCCCTTGATACTAATTAATATTCTTCCTGTTACTCCCGTTCACACTCTTTGGCATTTTTCTTTTCACTACCTCCTCTCCCTTGGCATTTACATCAGATCCTAGTCACCAAGCGCTGGCAGTTTTTTTCCAAGAGAGTTATTCCTATTTATAACTTGCTATGTCCTACTGAGGAAAGAATGTACTGGATATGCACAAATTTTTCTTTTGATATAAAATCAGTGTCTGTTGATTCTGCCTTCAAGAGTAACATCCAAATTTGCTGTGCGCAGATCTCCCAGCATTCTCTATTTCTTAATTCTTTTACCTGTCCCTTAAGGCATGATCCCCCACTAACAAACACAAGCAGTACTGTTTCCTCAGTGTGAGACCACACTTTTTCGGGAAAGAAAAAGTTGTACAAAAATCACAGAAATGGTGTTTCAGCAAGATATAAAAGTCGCAGAGGTTGACTTTTCTACGAAGCACAGCTGTGATTATAGGTTATAATAAGCAGCACTGGGCTCTTAGCATTAACAATGTATTTCTTCTAAGAAAGATGCAAAAACATTTGAAAATGTTGTCTGGATTTTATTTATCCCATGTGTCTTCTAGAAATGTAAGACCGCAAAGGGAGAGAAGTCACCTGTGCTGACCCACATGAGTTGGTGTATGGGTATCTCAGGAAAAATCCAAAGGAACCTTTCCATCCAAACCCCAACGTCATCATGGGTATGGGTGTACCAGAAAATGTTGCCTAACTCACCCTCATTCTAAAAGCATCCTGTTTTCATGTTTTGTTTTGAGGATGTTTCCTCCCTCCCGTGCCCCACACTTTTAAAAAGGAAATCAGAGTTTCCCCTCTCCTAAAATCACTTTGGGGGAGGCTCCTTGGATATCCCAGAAAGCTTCCTCCTGTGTCACTAAACGCCACCTCCATCTTCAAAGCAATAAATGTCAGAAGAACATTCCCTTAAGAAAACTCAGTCTAAAGCAATCATTTGCAATGTCTTCTACAGACTTCTCGATTTGGCTGAAAACATTGCTCTCTGGGGATAATGGAGAAATGGAGAAGGGACTGCCAGGACCTGGGAGTTAGTGTGAGACAGGATGCACTGGAAGGGTGAGAAAGCTGGAAGGTACGAGGCAGGAGAGTCCTGCCCTGGATTCTGAGGGTGCCGTGCGCTTCTGGGTCCTCCCAGAGCTCCTCGCAAGGTGTCATTAGCAGGGGTTAAAACAGCACGTAGGTTGGGAAGCAAAGGCTCTCCAGAGAGTCCACTTTAGCAGCAGGCGGAAGGAACTCTGGAGTCGAGGACAACATTTTCTGATCGTTGCCAGCTTGCTTTCTAGAGATCGCAGATGCCAAGAGCAAGGATTAGCTCAGCCTGGAGGACAGCACTGGCGAAGGCTGGCATGCAGGGGTACAATACCTAGGGTGGGTGCACTGGCACTTCGTTTACGATCTTCAGATATCCCAACAATGCACACAATCACACGCAGCCCAATGGAGAGAACACAGGAGAATGACAAAATGAAACACAGCTCAAAGTCCTACTCACAAAATACACACAGGGGGAGGAAAGGCAAGCACCGCGCTGTGCTTCCAACATCGCAGACTCCATTAGCAGGAACAATATGGGGTTAATTGGTCCACTTTCGAAACAGATGAGAAGCTGTTTACAATGAAGTCAGAGAATGTCAAGGGTTTTGGTCTTTCCTCTACATTTATGCTCCAACAAGGAGAGCAGGGTGACAGCCTGCATAGAGCTATCTTTACCACCAAATTAAACCCATGGGGGCAGTTTCTTGCAAACCTTTCCCCCAGCTCATTCACCTTCATTTCTGAGAAAGAGAAACGCACAGATCGATGAACCAGGGAAGGGAGGAGATGGACCTTGTCCTCGTTCTGAGTGAATTAAAGCAAAGGCACGCTGGCAATACACACCCAAGTTTGGTGCACTTGCTGTCCTCTTGTTACTTTTTATTTTAAAAAAGCCACGCCCAAAGGACGATCTGGCTTTCCGAGTGCCAAAGGGGTTGTCTTCCACAGATGCGTCATGCCCTGGAGCTTTCGGAGGGAGGCTCCTGAACGGGCTGCTTTCTACCGGAGCCTTATCCTAAAAGACAAGTAATAATAAATGGAACACGGCATGGCTGTGCACAATTAGGAGTACATGCCGGGCACAACACCTGATCTGTTACACATGTGATTTTATTTAAAAGAATCACGGAACTGACAAGTTGATTATGAACACCAAGCACCATATTACAATTTAGAAAGTCAGTTCTGAAAGCTACTTAGGAAGCAAGAGCAGCAACAAAAATATGTTCATCACTAACCTATAACCTGCATGCTTCGGATATAAAATATTTAGGATATAGAAATTCTCAAGCTTTATTTTAATTTTATTTGCCTCATTCCCCCCAATGACATGGACTGGGCTACAATGCTGTTCGCAGTCTTTGTACCGTAACTGCATCAGAAGCCCAGCGTAATATAATCACTGTGCAAAGTAGGCAAGCTTCTATACCAGCAGCAGAAAGCGATTCTACTCCAGTTATTTTAAATATTCTTCTCAAGGAATTACTAGTCAAATGAGGACACAACCAGTGACCGTTAAACATTTTGTTTTTGAAAGGGTGTTCTGAGACATATTCATTATCTTGCCTGCAAGTTACCTGACACGGATCACCAATTTTCAAACACTATGACATGCTCAGATACACTTAACATCAAAACTAAACTTGTTATAATTAAATTTTTCTTCATCGATTCAGAAGACTCTTTGGCTGTCTCTAACATGTCAAGGTCTTTATCACGAACCTTAACTGTAAGTTATACTTCTAAGTACTGTTGATTTTTTTAGCTTTCTCATTATTTGAATTAGCAGTTACAGTAACGTGATCTATTATATTGTTTTAGTAGGATCCAAAGATGCTTTGATTTGCATGCTCTCATTCCTCTAACATCTCCTGCCCTCTGTTTCTGTTTTTGCAGAGGTGGAGAAAGGGGAGAGGGGACACAAGCTTTGAAGGTGGTTATTTTATCCTCCAAATTTATTGCTCATCGTAACTACAAGTTTATAGATGCCACAGTTTAGTGCAACTATTACCTATGTCTCACCACAGATGTCAAAATCATTTAATCATTTACTGAATTGGCAAGACAAAAAAGGACAAAGGATGCCTGTAATTACAGCTGTGTGCACAGTCTGTGCCTTATCAGGGACACCTACATTACAACTCAAGGCATTCAGAGCCAACAGTCAAGGGAGTACATCTGGAAGTGGCCTGTCTACCAGAATGTAGTCTTTACAGAGTTAATGATTGAAAATTAGAGGAAAGAAGAACCAGAGCCCTTGTTGATGAGGTCTTTAAAAAAGAAAAAAAAAAAAAAAGACAAAAAAACAGAACACCAAAATGTTTGCTGTATACACAGTGGTTATATTAAATAAACAGCTGTTCTCAGACGGGTGACCTAAGGACTTTTTGTGAGGTCATAGGAATCCCAAATATGATCATTAAGAACATCAATAGCCTGAGAGTCTGGGGTTTTGTTTGTCTGGTTTTTGTCCCCCCCCAACAGTTTATTGAGGTGAAACATAAAAAGTAACTATCTTAAATTGAACAATTCGGAGACATTTAGTAAACTCACGGTGTTATGCAACTGCCACCTCCACCTAGCTCCCAAACATTTCCATCATTCTAAATAAAACCCCTCATCCAGGAAGCAGTTTCTCTCCATTCCTCCCTCTCCATCTCTGGCAACCGCCAAGCTGTGTTCTGTCTCTATGGATTTATCTATTCTGCATACTTCACATAAATGGAATCGTGTACTATCTGATCTTCCGTGTCTGGCTTCTTTCATATAACATGCTTTGGAGGTTCTGAGTTTGGGTTTTTTGGAGACATTTAAGCAATCACATGTATCAGACATCACAAACATTTTTCCATTGTAATCTGGCCATAAAAATTACCTCTGGAGGCTTCTGAACAGACTCCTTTTCCTGTTCAAAACAACAATATTTTAGATTGTTACAGGAATGGCTTCATATATTCACAATCTGTTACATACAATTCTAGAAATTAAAATAAACTTACATCTACTTCTAAGCTACACAATCTCAGTTCCATTTATTTCCGAAAATGGCTAATTAAAGTCTTCAGTTTTGATTGTATACACTAGTTTCAACTGTTCATATTTATCCTTCTTAACATTTACCATTAACTGTGGTATCTAATAAATCTGCATTAGAGAAACCTCAAGCTCTTCTTGAGAGTTTTATTTGCAAAATGGGAAAATGTGAGGATCCCTAAATATTTGCGTCTCAGGGTAACAGACAGAGAAACAACACAGAACCAACCCCATCTGATGACTCTTTCTTCAGATTGCCCAGGCTGCTGGACTTTTGCAGACTTGAAGTTCTAAAAATAACAATAATAGTAATTAGGATTAATAGTAAGTGGCTCTGGTGCCACTGTTTCTTAGGAGAATATCTTGGAAAGAAACTAAAACTGTGTGTGGGTTGAATCCTGGTCATAAAAGAAAACCCGGATTCAGGCAGTCACTTATGTGCTTTACTAAATTATAACATTGAGTTCTTTTAAAAGCAGAGGTGGTTAACTGTCCTGCCAATAACTCTAAATGTCCCACACATGTTAGAATAGCTGGAAAAACACTTAGACTGTCCTTGTGATGTCAACACTTGAAAATAAACCAGCATTTTTCCATGGACCAGTGGTGTATCCTTTTATGTATACATTTAGACCAGGAACTTTTTTATTTTTTATTTTTATTTAAATTTTAGTTAATATACCAGGGAACTTCTAAAATACTCATACTATTTACATATAATCCTTGTAATTAAAATAAAGGACAGAAGTGTTACTTTTCAATTCACAAAGGGATCTATTTTCTGAATCTGGCCAAGTAGTTCATTTTACAGTTCTGATCGAGGCATACAAGAAAAATCCCTCTGGCTGCCCATAATAATTTGTTTGCTATCCTTGCAAAGTGACACTGTAAACATCCAGAGATTTTTTTCCCTTTCACATAACTAGCATTCAAGTGTACAGGGCTGGTCTTTTCAAAAATGGAAGGCAGGAATAGGTGACCAGTTTAGAGAGAGAAAAAAGCTCTAAGAAGCAGAATAACATACATACACAAACTTTTAAAAGGCAATTCTCATGTACTCATGTGTACATAAGTTACTAGACATGTCCAGTACCAAATAAAGTAAAAGATAATGGTGAGAAAAGAGAAGATCTCATCTTTGAATACTGCTCTGGAAATAGATTTTCCTAATTCAGACTTGAACTTGGATAAACATAGATAATGGACCATTTTACTACATAGAGAATGCAAAAAACTACTGCAGCCTTTCCAGCCATTACATCATTCTCTGTGACTCTTTTCTGCTAGGGTCAAAATGCAAGCCAGTGCAAACCTGAAATTCAAAGCACTGCACTTCACATGAAAACTGATGAAGGAAGGCTAAAGCAGTGCAAACACTTGGCACGAGATAACGGATAATGGTCAATGAGCAAGTATCTCTTTGTTAACTCACAACCTCCCCTTCCCCCGACATCCAACCACCACACCTGCATTAATGTATTCAGGCCTCAGTCATCTGCTTCTCACAGTGGTCACTGTGAGTGTGTCAGAAGCTTCCTCTCTCCCAGGTATCAATGACATTTTCCACATTCAAGAACGTGACTTACGAAAGACTATCGCACGGCTGGGTTTCAACAGAAGCACCAAGGATTATTTTTCCATCACTAAAAGAAGAAAGAAAAGGAAAAAAAAAAATGGAATGTGTGTGCTTCACAAGTAAAAGACCATATATATTCTAAGTAAGCAGAACTGTCAAAAAAACAAAAAAATTGTGCTAGAGAAGCTATTTCTCTTTTAAAATAGTCTTGTTTTTTGTTTTTTAAACACAGGCTCCATGCCCAGCATGGGGCTTGAACCCACAACCCTGAGATCAAGACCTTAGCTGAGATCAAGAGTCAGCTGCTGAACTTACTGAGGACTCCCAGCTGCCCCTCTCTTTTAAAATATTCTACTATATTTTCTTTTGTTAAAAAACATTTTATTTATTTATCTGACAGAGAGATCACAAGTAGGCAGAGAAGCAGGCAGAGAGAGAGGAGGAAGCAGCCTCCCTGCTGAGCAGAGAGTCTGATGTAGGGCTCGATCCCAGGACCCTGGGATCATGACCTGAGCCAAAGGCAGAGGCTTAACCCACTGAGCCACCCAGGTGCCCCTAAAATATTCTATTATATTTTCTTTTATTTGGTCTCATTATAGGTTAAGTAACTGAGAACATGCTCCCTCAAAATTCTACTTGTTAATGGAGAAACTACTGTATCCCTGTCCCAAATCCTTCTTCTGAACAGCCTGGGCCACATGACCATTGCTATGGGGCTTGGGACCCACTGGTGGCCCCCCATGACTTAGGACATAAAACGAGTCCCCTAAAATCTCTCTCTAACCTGAACACCACACGTCCCTGGACTCCTGTCCTAGGACTTCTTGCTTCACACCCTTTATTTCAATAATCCAGAACTGACTGTAGTGATTGATTTACACTGGTTCCCTGGCACATGCCTTACAGTTTCTTGCCTCTCACAGTAAAACCTGTGTCTGTAAATAATTGCAATGCACTCTTGTGTTTGCTTGATCTACTCTGCTGAACATTTATATTGCAATGTTGGGTCATAAATGACATACCTTTCTTCGAATGAAGTCTCTGGTTGAGGAGGCAATTTTGCTCTTTCAGACGTTTCCAAGCCCTTAGATGTTGGCAGTAATGAAGGGATTGAAACTTGCAAGATGCTGGTGTGGAACTGTAATGTAATTAGAGAAAGTCAAAAATCCACGAAATAAGTCAAGCAGAGAGAGTCAATTATCATATGGTTTCACTTATTTGTGGAGCATAACAAATAGCATGGAGGACAAGGGGAGATGGAGAGGAGAAGGGAGTTGGGGGAAATTGGAAGGGGAGGTGAACCATGAGACTATGGACTCTGAAAAACAATCTGAGGGGTTTGGAGCGGCGGGGGGTGGGAGGTTGGGGGAACCAGGTGGTGGGTATTAGAGAGGGCACGGATTGCATGGAGCACTGGGTGTGGCGCAAAAACAATGAATACTGTTACACTGAAAAGAAATTTAAAAAAAAAATCCACAAAATAAGACAGAAGTCACAGAGAAAAAAAAAATAACTGAGACAATTACATGGTCCATCAAAAAAATTTCATACACCTATGTTTAAAAACACTATTCTTCTATTTATAAAATGGTCTCTGGATATAAACATCAATGATTGTTAAAATCAGAGAAAACATTCTGGAGGAAGGTCATTTTTGAACTTGGTTCTGAATAAAACATAATAAATACCATCAAGTAAGTCAATAGTTGATCCTGACAACTTTAAGCCCTCGTAAAAATCTTGGTTCTAACCTTATGCAAGTCACTTAACTGGGCACCAGTTTTCTCCTCTGTAACATGAGAATGGCAATGCCTACCTTAAAGGGTTGTCATGATTTGAGATGAGATTTGGGTAAAGTGCTTTGTAAACACACCTGTTTTCACTTTATTTTCTAGCACTAGTCTAATATAGAATGTTGTTCAAACCAGTTCTTTTTTTTTTTTTTAAGATTTTATTTATTTGACAGAGAGAGACATGGCGAAATAAGTCTAGCAGAGAGAGGAGGAGGAGTGGGAGAGGAGAAGCATGCTTCCCACTTCCCTGAGCAGGGAGCCTGATGAGGGGCTCCATCCCACAACCCTGGGATCACGACCTGAGCAGAAGGCAGACACTTAACGACTGAGCCACCTAGGCACCCCCAAACCAGTTCTTTGTGGATACCACTTAAAACACCTGGCTTAATAATACTACAGCAGCAACAACAAAAATGCCTAATACACCTTCCTAAACAAATGCTTTGTGTATCCTAAGGATGGAATCTATGGAAGAAATTTTATACTCTGGGGTTAAATAATTTCTGATGACTGTAGAGCAGTATGGTGTAAGAGCCCATCATAAACTAATACATGAATCACTTAAAAAATATTGTGATAAAAAAATAAAATTTTCCTCAGTGAATTCACTCTGCCAGTCAACCAACCAATTAGTGACTGCGCCTCCCTTCTGAAGTCAGCCAGGAAGGTAGGGACTCACAACCTGGAACACACTTCTAGATGCCAATCAATCAACAACAGTCTCACCTCTGTAACCACACGTCCACAGCGGATGTCAATTCTCTCTAGCCTCTAAGAGTCCCTCAATCCCTGAGCTCCAAGCAACCCCGCATGCCCCACAAATGATCAAAGAGACTGTCCCTGACCAACAAAGTTCACCGAGATAACTAAATAAGCAATACATTTAGCTCTGTGGTTTTTTGGTCCAGTTACTGAGCGGTGGTCTCATTCCTTGACACTAAGAGGTTATAACATGTCAAGTCTGTTAAAATCATCTGATTGGGCCCAAGATGGAGTGGCTCGTGTTAAGCTCCATGTCAGTAAACCCAAACTTAGCTAAGTTTCCGTGCTCGGGGATCCCAGAAAAGGCAGACCTAGGTCGACCAATCGGCACTTGCCTGCCCTTAGTAAGTTACCTGACTCACCCTGCCCCGAGACTTCCCTTTGCTGCACATAAGGAAAGTAACCCTACTTAACCAACCAGGAAACGACTAGCATGATCCTCTGCTCCTGCTTCCTTCTGCCTAAAAAAGCCCTTCATTTTGTACAGATCCATAGAGTTCCTTTCCATCTGCTAAAATGGACGTTGCCTGATTCATAAATTGCTGAGTAAAGCCAGTAAGATGTTGCAAATTTACTCAGTTTAAGTTTGTTCTTTAACAACAAGTCCGATCTTGTTGCTTCACTATTTCTTTTTGGAATCTTTATGATTAGTTCTGGGCAACTTACTGAGCCATCATCCCTGTGTTTAAAATTTTCTCAGCTGAATTTTTTTTTTAAAGATTTTATTTATTTATTTGATAGAGAGAGATCACAAGTAGGCAGAGAGAGAGAGAGAGAGAGGAGGAAGCAGGCTCCCTGCTGAGCAGAGAGCCCAATGCGGGACTCCATCCCAGGACCCTAAGATCATAACCTGAGCCGAAGGCAGAGGCTTAACCTACTAAGCCACCCAGGCGCCCCTGAATTTTGTTCTTTAACAAATCCTATTGTTGTAAAATAGGAGATTACTTCACTATCTCTTTTTTTTTTTTAATTTGAATCTTTATGATTAGTTCTGGGCGAATTATTGAGCCATCATCCCTTATGTTGTCAGGTTCACAGTAGCTCCCCAGGTTCCTAATCATGGGGAAGGAAATGGCTCCACTAACAAACTGATCCATTTCCTTGATTTCGTTCTGAACTTAGGACTTTAACTCCCAACTCCAATCTCCCTCCTAGCTCTTGTTTAACAATGTGGCTGAACACACTTAATCCTCATCAAATCATTCTGGTTCCAAAAGAAAAGTCTCATTAAAGTACAATTCACATAGGAAAGACTCTTTTAAAGAGACTATCTGGGCAAATCTTACATGTAACATCTGCCATTCTGTAAACAGACAGCAAGCATACTCATTGACTGTCAGATGTTGTTTTTCCCTTCAGTAGAAATATATTTAGCAATTAGGGGATTGTCCCCCTCTAACATATTTTTTATTTCCCCCTCTAAAATATTTTTTATTCCTTAACTAATCTTTTGCCTCTTTTTTCCAATTTTATTGGGATATCACTGACATGCAGTACCATATAAATTAAAAAAAAAAAAAGAAAAGAAAAGAAAAGGAAAAAAAAAACACCATATTTTTTTTTTCCTTGCAATGAGAACTCTTTGGATCTACAGTCTTAGCAACCTTCAAGCATACCAGACAGCAGTGTTAACTATAGTCATCATGTTGTACCTTATACCCCTAGCACACTTGTCTTATAACTGGAAGTCTATACCTTTTGATCACCACCCTCCAATTTCCCCTACCCAGTAATCCTTATGACTGACATCTTTTAGCCCTCTCCTACAGTGATGAGAGAAATGTTTCCTCCTTGAATTCATTTTCATGCAATTCAAATTTCATTTTCTCATTAGGTAATCAGCAGGAATAGATATGAAAAGAAAAGATGCCACTTGGTTTTTTTCTCACTGCAAACAGTCAAATGTTAAAGGAAAGACGACCAAAAGGGGAATTGGAAAAGGTAGCCAAGGCTGTTTAGTTAAAAAACAAAAACAACAGGGGCGCCTGGGTGGCTCAGTGGGTTAAGGCCTCTGCCTTCGGCTCGGGTCATGATCTCGGGGTCCTGGGATCGAGCCCCACGTCGGGCTCTCTGCTCTGCGAGGAGCTTGCTTCCCTCTCTCTCTGCCTGCCTCTCTGCCTACTTGTGATCTCTCTGTCAGATAAATAAATAAAAATCTTAAAAAAAAAAACAAAAAAACAAAAACAACAACAACAAAAACAATTTTTCCCATTTCCAGTTTCTCTAGACAGTACACTTCACTAAAATGAAAAGTTCTATGGCAAAGAGGGAGGTGCTGTCAGGAAGCCACGGGTGTGCCTAGGTTAAGACCTCAGGAAGACTTAAGGTACCACTGTCTCATTGAAACCTTCAAAAAGTTCGACAACTCTAAAAATAGAGGGATATTCCATAGCAGCCATACAGAAAACTTAAGATAGAGAAAGTCTTATGGTGAAGATAACTGTGGATATCCTTTACCTGATGGAGTGGATTATAAATCGATTCATAAGAAATTCCAAATGAATAAAATATTATACCAAATTAGACCAAGAGGGACAGAGATAGTAGAAGGCAGAAGGCCCTGGACCCGTATAGATACTTTTGCAGAAAACAACTCATCTGCAATTACAGGTTCTTTCTCCTGGAAATGGAAAGATGACTCCCAAGGAACAACCAAGAGCCCAAAGGTCTGGGCCCTGTCAAGGAACTGGCCACACGAGCCTGGCTGGATTTGGGAACTGCTACCGACTAATGATACGTGGGTGTCTTCCATGTCCACGTTCCCTCTTCTTGAATAGGAATGCCTAGTAGTTACTATGCCCATTCCACCACTGTATGTCAGGTGTGTAGGGGACAAATGGCTTGACCTTGAATTTCCTGGTTCTTTAAATGGAGTGGAGCGCTACTCGAGAAGCCAAACCTGAGCAGCTGCACCTACATCTTGACCGGGTCTGGATGACAAGGTCTTGGGATGCGGAAGCCTGACTGGAATAAGACCAAGAGGTCTTTGACGAGGGGATGAGGACATTTTGCATGGGGGAGGGATATAAATGATTGTAACCAGAGAGTGGAGGGCAGTTGTACTAGTCGAATATGGTCGTAGGGGTATATGCCATCCCATGTGTTCTTCTCAAATGTGATATTATTACCTGTCCATCAAGAGGTAGGGTCTTTGTTTCCTCTCTGTGAATGTGTGTGGGCCTGTGACTACAGGAGAAGAGATGCCACAGGATTTCTGAGTCATAGCATAAAAGATGATATAAATATGCCCAGTCCTCTTATCGGGATGCTCATCCTTAGGATCTAAACGCTATGCTAGGAGAAAGCCAGGCAGTCACAGGTATTTCCAGCTAGTGCCTCAGCTGAGGTCCTGGCCAACAGTAGCACCAACCATGAGATATACAAATGCGTAGCCTTCAGATGACTCAAGCCTCCAGCCTTCACGCCATTCCAACTATGGCCCAGTGGAGTGAAGAAGAAATGTTCCTGCGGAGGCTTACCCACATCACACATTTGTTAGCAAAGCAAGTGCTGTCATTCAAGCCACAAATTTTGGGGGTGGTTTGCAATAGATAATGGAAACAGATTTTGGCACCAGTCTGATGTGAAAGAAAAATAAATGAGTTCAAGACTAAGTATTCCTGTCTAGCTGCTTTTTTCCAAGTCTAAAGAAGTCAGGGAAGATTTTAGTCCAGAATTTTTCAGAGGCACCATTGAAAGTGACTAAAACCAACCTCTTTATATAATCTCACTTTATCCCTCTTCATTTATTCCCTATTTGTTCTTTACTAATAAAGATTATTATTGTGTAGATTGTAATCTATTTAGGATGGCATCTTTCTCCCATGTTCTTCCTGAATTATTTAAGCAATTTTGACATTGCCCAAGGTATTTATTTATTAAAGAGGGGGGAAAAACTAATCTTTCAAATAAAGTCCTACGAGACTGAGTTTTGACATGAAAATTGCTAAGACTCCGTCAATAGCCACACTGAGAAAAGATCCCATGTCTTTCATGCTGTCAACAGCATTTTAACCTTCAATGACACAGTCTCTTCACTACAAAGATAACGTTGAGAGTCTGTAAATACCTCTTCTGGAACACTTGTGTTAAATGGGTCACGACTGGGAGATCCCATGACTGGTGTAGATGATAGACTTTTCTCCAGGTCACTAAAACCCTGTGCATCCAGCAAAGTGGAGATGGAACCAGAAGTGAGCAGACCGTCAAAGTCGCCATCTTGGTCTAGGAAAAGGAGGAGAATAGCAGCTTTTCATTTACATTTCATTTTTGGAGGAATACCAACTGAATATAAAAATTTTTCTCATCCTCAAAAACCAAAAGTGAGTTTCCTCTGAAATCCTTAGAAAAATAACAAGAGGGCCTCTAGGAGACATGTTAAACTATGAGCACCTGAAGCCCGAGGGTGGTATTAATAGCTACTACCACGGACTCACAGCCTTGAAATCAGAAGTTAATTTAGTCCAACAACCTTCCCTAATTTTTTTGTTTCAGAATTTGGGGCTTTACAAATTTCAGTTCAGAAACAACCAAGCTGGAGAATATCAGTGGTACAACAAACTAATTCTGAACAGCAACACAGTCACCATGAGAAAATCAATATTCATCATTCATCATTTCTGTGTTCTTATTTTTTTATTAATTTTTTAATTTTTTTATAAACAAATAATGTATTTTTATCCCCAGAGGTACAGGTCTGTGAATCGCCAGGTTTACACATTTCACAGCACTCACCACATCATTTCTGTGTTCTTAAAACAAAACAAAACAAAAACCACACACATATAAAGAAAAAAAAACAATAGGCAATATTCTGATTCCTTAAGATGATCCTTCTGTGCCATTTATTTTAAAGAAGAAAGAATAGCCTTACGGACAAATGCAACCACACACCCAGCAAAGGGGACAACTTTGAGAACTACATCTACATCGCCAGCGATGAAAAGGATTAGGTGCTGAACAACTGTGTCAGATATTCTTTTTTAAAACCAAAAAATGATGCTTAAAACACTATTCTCTGAATAGTACAAAATGGCAAATCATAAACTCATTTAAAGCTGTTAACTAGACTTACCTTCTTAGATTTTTATTAGGCATTTATTCTAATTTCATTAAAATGTAGGTATTATTGGCATTCTCTAAGGACTAAGTAAATACAAATACTAGTTAGAAATCACTGTTTATAAACTCTTCATTAGAACAGGACATAATTTTCTTTTTTTTTTTTTTTAAAGAGTTTGTTTATTTATTTGACAGAGAGAAATCACAAAGAGAGAGGCAGGCAGAGAGAGAGAGAGAGAGAGAGAGAAGCAGGCTCCCTGCTGAGCAGAGAGCCCGACGCGGGACTCGATCCCAGGACCCCGAGATCATGACCTGAGCCGAAGGCAGCGGCTTAACCCACTGAGCCACCCAGGCGCCCCAAGAACAGGACATAATTTTCAATGGTGGTTAAAAACTACCTCTTTTTAATATACAAATGTCAGTAAGTACATGATAAGATGTCCAATAGTTTTCATCTGAGGGACTGTGATGAGAATACTTAAACATTAAACCAATTAAATCAAAATCATATCAAATGTACAGGATTGTTAAGTTTCAAATACCACACCAAGTGTTGGCAAGTGTGTTCACCAATTATAACTCTGATACATTGCTGTTGGCAATGTAAAATAATACAACTAACTTTGGAAAAGAAAACAAAAAACAACCTCTTTTTGCTACACATTTTATATGCATTAAAAAAGATGAAAAAAAAATACATGAGGGGCGCCTGGGTATCTCAGTTGGTTAAGTGTCTGACTCTTTTTTTTTTTTAAGCTTTATTTATTTGAGAGAGAGAGAGAGAGAGAGCATGCACATGCACACACAGGCCAGGGGAGGGACAGAGGGAAAGAATCTTCAAGTAGCCTCCAGCTGAGTGCAGAGCCGAGGTAAGGCCTGATATCACGACCCATAAAATCATGAGCTGAGCTGAAACCAAGAGTTGGACACTTAACAAACTGAGCCACCCAGGCGCCCCAAACGTCAGACTCAATCTCCGCTCACGTCTTGATCTCCAGGTCGTGAGTTCAAGCCCTATGTTGGGCTCCATGCTGGTCATGGAGTCTATTTTAAAACAAAACCAGATTAAACAAAACAAAAACAAACAAACAAAATATGAAACTGACAAAAATAATCATGTCAGTGCAATTATGAAGAATATTTACCCCTTTTCTTGATTTTCTACGTTTCATAATTATAGAAATTAATGTTTTCCCTTGATTTTTAAATATAAAAACTACAGTATTGAGATTCTATAAAATCAAATACTGTTTTAAATGTTATGACTACGTAAAAATTAATCACTTGTTAATTTGCAATATTGTCTAAAAAGAGACACTCTCTTGAAGGCAGAGAAAAGGCGAGTGATGAGAATCGCTGTAAAAACACTGACAGAGGTTCATTTGCTTGCTCATTTGGGTATTTACAAAATTTTAACATATACTAAGTCCTGTGAAAAATAAGATGAAGATCCATTTTTCCCCCTCAGAAATCCTTGTCTGAAGTAGGATTTTTTCTTTTTGAACTCATCGAAATTGAAATTCCAAAATCTGAGTATTTCACAAGTATCTCTGAAAAAATTTATTACTCATGTTTACTTTTAGAGCAAATAGCCCACCTTGCATTGCTAATGAACAAGAAAACTTCCAAAGTTCTTAACACTTTTGTTTTAAATGACCCCCAGAGATTTTCCACATTTGAGGATGGCCAACTGGACAATGCACAGATAAAATAATACCACATCAAAAGGCATAACTATTTTATTAAGCTTTTAGTTCTAATTAACATACAGTGTAATACTAGTTTCAGGCGTACAATATAGTAATTCAGCACTTCCAAACATCACCCTGTGCTCATCCCAACAAGTGCACTCCTTAATCCCCATCAAAGCGTGACTATTTTTACTTAGATGTCTTACGGTTTCGGTTTTATTTTATTTTATGTTTTAACTTAACACATTCAAAGCTGAACACAATCCCCCTTAATCATTTCAGTGCGCCCTCACCAGGCTTCGCTACCTTGGTAAATGGAATCATCACCCACCTGGTCGCTTTAGTCAAAAATGTCAATCTTTCTTGATTCTTTCCTCTTCTTCACTCTCATCTAATTCATCACACCACTGTGTTAGTTCGAACACCAAAATATGTTTCTAATCAGTACCATTATTAACATTCCATTTGGAATCCTGCGAGAGCCTCTTGACTGGCGTCCCTTCCTTCCGATACTGCTCCCTCCTCCCAGTATGGTCCATTTGTTACGAAGATGCCCCAGACATCTTCGTAAGGGTAAAACCCTTCAGTGGATCCCTCTGGGCTCACAGAGCTGAATGCCTCACATCGCCTGACCTGGCCAACGCTAACTTCTATCCGCTCGGCTCATCTCCTCTTATTCTCTACCTGATCCCTACCTTCCAGTCAGTCACAATGGTCTTTTTACTTCTTAAATACACCAAGCCCATTTTCCCCATAGGCTCTTAAAAAAAAAAAAAAGATTTTACTTATTTATTTTTGAGAGAGAGAAAGAGAAAGCATAAGCAGGAGGGAAGGGTAGAGGGAGAAGCAGACTGTTTGCTGATCAGGGAGCCCAATGCAGAACTCGATCCTAGGACCCTGGGATCATGACCTGTGCTGAGCAGACGCTTAACCCACTGAGCCACCCAGATGCCCCTCCCCACAGGCTCTAGAACACACTGTTCTGTCTAGAATGCTATCTGATGAACTCCACACAGAGGTTCTCCTTGATCAACCAGTCCACAGTATTCTCTTTGGCCTACTGACCAAGAAAGTGTGTGATATTGTTTCCTAATGATACTGTTGAATGAATGAACAAATGAACTATTTTGGAATAATGGATATTCCAGAAAAATGAAACCAAATGTTAAAGTTCATAGCCACTTAAAATCAAGTAAAGTAGAAAAATCTATAGAGCTACACTACCTTTTTTACCTTGGGTCAGTATCACTGTATCTTGCATTTTCTTGTACCTATTCAGGCACTGTCGAAGATCTTCTATTTTCCGATCCTATTAATAAAATAAATTGTCATCTTTAAACTATGACTTTAAACAGTAAAAGTAATTGCAACACAAAGAATAGGGAGACATGAATTATTTACATTATTCAAGGAATATTTCTAAACTTTAGTAAAACTGGTAATATCTAAAATAGTTTTCCTACGTACATCAGAGATAGAGAAAAAGTACCTCTAAATTTAGAGATCCTATCCTTCAGCTGCCATCTTTAAAAAACAAAAACAAAACAAGGTAATAAGATACAAAACAAAAACAAAACAAGAAAAAAATCAACTTTAATTATTCTCCTCTCCAACTTATGGGCATGTCTTGAAAGAAAGATCTACACCTGTCGTCTTTACCTGCTGTCATCAATCACAATCTGGCCTTTCTCTTCTCAAAACACTCAGCCAAAGTTGTACCAATTAGTCATCAGAGACTTCATATTTACTAAAATTAAGAGAACTTTTCATCCTTTTTCTAATTTGACCTCTGATACTTGACTGACCCCATTCTTTCCTCCTTCTTTCTCCTTCACTTTTCTTTCCACTCTTTCTTCTATTTTGATTTCTTAATTCCTCGACCAGATAGATATTCTACTTCCACTATCCCCACTATCTACTCAGCCCAGTCTATAAAATGTTAGTGCTTTAAGATTTTGTCCTTTACCCCCACTCTGGTGGATTCTAAAAAAATGGGTTCCCTAGCTCTTCCCTCACTGGTTTTGGGCCTGGCCATGTGACTTGCTTTGGCCAAAGAGATATCAACAAATGTGGTTAGGGTTTGCCCTCTCTCTCTGCTCCAGGGAACCTTCACTATGTGAATTAGCACAGACTAGTCTAATGGAAGACGAGAGATCATTTGGAAAAGAGACATCCCAGCAGGGCCCAGCCTATGCAAGGGTGTTAATCACTAGACATGTGAGTCACACCAGCCTAGACCATCCAGCCCCATCCCACCCACCAGCTAACTGCAGAGATCAACAAAGCTAGCCCAGACCAGGAGAACCCCCTAACCAACCATCACAAGTATGAGAAATAATAAATGTGATTTGTCATGGAGCAAAAGCTAACTTACATATCAACTACAGCTTAGTCCCCGAAAATCTACAATTCTGTACTTTTCCTAAAATTGATTGGGTTCATTCCCTACCCAATCTATAATTATACATTAACCCCCAAATTTAGATTCATTTTCCAACTTTCTATGAGAAATCTCCTTTTAAAAGTCCCATGAGCACATCAAAGTGAATGTCTCTAAAATTAAGCTCATTATTTGCCCCTGGTACTTGAGCTTAGATTCCCTTAACTCTTTGAGGGCACTATCATTCACCTCATTACTCAAACTAGAAACTTGTTCTCAAATCCAAAAAAAAAAAAACAAAAAACAAACAAACTTCAAAGATTTTACTTATTCGAGACAAAAAGAGGGTGAGAGTGAGAGAGAACAAGCAGGAGGAAGGGGCAGAGGGAGAGGGAGCAGGCTCCCACAGGGAGCCTGATGTGGGGCTCAATCCCAGGACCCTGTGATCATGACCTGACCGAAGGCAGGTCATTAACCAACTGAGCCACCCAGGAGCCCTCAAATCCAAAAATTTTTTTTTAAAAATCCTGTCAACCTGTGTAAATGTCAGCTTCATATACCCCTCTCCCTTATCTCATTCTGAACTTTCCCAACATGCACTGGGCTGTTCCAAGCCTGGGCTTTTGAGACATGTTTGGTTTGTAAATACTCTCCTTAGAAGCTTTCATTTTCCTGATGAACAACTGTTGCCTTTCCTCAGATTTTGCTCAAATGTGACCTCTTTGAAGCCTTCTGGAATTACTAAAAACTTATGTCAGCATTGGTGCTCCTAAAGCAGTTTGAATGCTAGTAAGCCCTCAGTCAACACTGGGAGATTTGTTTGTTATTGATGCTTTTTGAGAGAAAGAAATTAAGACTAAATGAATTTGTGATTACTTTTTTAAAAGTAAAAGCTATGGGGGTACCTAGGGGACTCAGTCAGTTATGCGTCTACCTTTGGCTCAGGTAGTGATCCCAGAGTCCTGGGATCAAGCCCCATATCAAGCTCCCTGTTCACTGTTTTTCTCTCAAATAAATAAAATCTTAAAAAAAAAAAAAAGTTAAAACTACATGGGCCCCTTGCTAATGACTTTCTTTCCTTTTTATTCCATAGTGGGAAAGACTAGCAAAAAGAAACCTATATACAGGTGGGTGGGGAGGGCAATGAGTTTATTTCCTAATAAAGAGCAAATAAAGAGAATGAAAGGCAAAAATATAGAGTAAAACAGAGAACACAAGAATTAGAGAAAGAAACAAAATGAAACAAAAAGATCAAGGCAAAGTTCTTTGGCAGTTGCTTGTTTTTTTTACTTCCTTGAAATGACTCTTTTCTTGGGAAAATGCCTCCTTGTTCTATTCATCGAGTAACATGAGGTAAGAGTAGTTCTGATGATGGGAGCTGAGCCCGACTGTTGCTGTCCGCTAGATATATGGCTGATCAGGTAGGCCATGAAGAAACACCTTGCTTTAGAGGAGACTGTTTCCCTGCTCTAAGCAGAATGAAATCAGGGAAGCAATAGGAAAGAAGACTCTGGAGTCCCTGGAATTTGGCCAACAAAGCTAAAAGACAGCCTAGGGCCATTTTTTATCTCATGGTGCTGATGCCTCTGTTCTCGTATCTCACCTCTCAGGAGAACAGAGACAATCCCTCATGTGAAAGAATCCAGGAGTGTGAAGAAAATGATATGAAGAAAATTAACCTCATCAGGAAGCTAACAGCTGTCATGGGCCACCCCTTTTAGAGTTCATGCTAGCCCAGAAAGGATGCACTGTGGACTGTATCCTTTCTCTCATTTCCCACCTGAATATAAAGAAATGATCTGAGGGCTTGAACATTTTTCCAGATTCACAGGGAGGTGGGGGAGAGAGATCTCAGTGGACCCAGGGCTGCCAGTCACCGCTCTACCCACACAGTCACAATGACAACTGCCATCACCGACAGCAGGCACATGAGGGTAGAAAGGGAGAACGGTTGTCCCTCAATGTCAGTAGTGTGTAGGGTTCTTCCAACCTGACATATCTCAAGAAAACACATGGAATGATCAAAATGGTACACACCCACATAAATACTTTAATTTCGTCTAGATACCTTTTCTTCATTTGCTGCCATCAAAGATTCCACAGCCTTTTTCATTTTTTGCACTTCAATATCTGAAAATATCACAAGAACATGTCAGAAGTCAGTTTTGTTAACGTGTGTGACAATAACAAGGGGCTGACTCTTCAGACTGAAATGTTTTAATGAAATGTTTACCGTCTATAACCTCTTTTGGGGAAAATCTGAAAAATGAACACCTTCCATGTCACCTGAATAGTCATCACTCCAGAAAGCAAACAATAAGGGTGAGAGCTAACTACCCTCTCTCGAAGCAACAACAAAATCCTCACAAGAACACGGAAGGTGAAATTTCAGTGCTACAACCACGAAAACACAGTTTTTCAATTAAAAAAAAAAAAGGAAACCTAGAAAGCAGTGGGTGAAAGCGATGGACGGTGTACATGATGACATAAACAGAGGACAGGATACTCAGTTTTAACCAAGATGGAGACATGAATGGCAAGAGCCTGATGGAATGTGGCATCTATAGCAGTCATGCTATGAAGTTGGTTGTAGGTTCCATACAGAAGGATAAGTACTTTGCTTCATCTATAAACATCATTTCCGACACTATTTTAAAAGGTAAATGTGATTTTCCTTAAAATTTGACAGTCAAATGCAAAAGCACATTACTTTAATAATAAAAGAACCAATATTTTAAGATGAAATGTCAACCTAAAACAAAATCACAAATTTAAAAAATTCAAGCAGAAAAAAAACTAAGCTAAGGTTACCTGCTTCTGAGGAAAAAAAAACAAACTACTACTTAAGGTAAGTTTTAAAATGCATCATTCATCGCTGATGCAACATTTTCAATATGAAGGTATATTCTGTAGAAATTGGTTTTTTTTTTTTTTTTTTTTTTTTGATGCCCAATTCTCTGGACGTAAGAATTCAACATCTGGAGGAAAGAGCCTATTAATTAATGATTTATCTCGATGATGCATTAGATAATCTGGGTTCTGTTAATCAGCCTGGGTACAATCTCTTGCCTAACACCAACAGGGTATGTTTAGTTCCTAATGTAGATCTCAGGGAAGAAGTGGGCTACAAAACATTGAAAAGTAATTTTCTCCTCTGACACTCTGTCTCCTGAACTACAAAGAAAATTCTTCCTCACCTCTGCTACTCTGGGTGTTCTGCTGTACCCTGTGGAGCAAAAGGGTTGAGTCAGGGGGAAAAAAAAAAAAAAATCAGCAAAATGACCTTTTACTCCTTGTTTTTACTGTTTGTTTATTTACCCTCTATTTTGTGCACTCTGAAGAAATGGAGAGCTTATCGATGAAGCAACTTCACATCTTTGGTGAGAGAAATGTTTTTAAAACACATGCAAAGAACAGTCCAAGTAGTACTTTTGGTGAATGTAAAGGCTGATGGACATACACCAAAAACCTTACTTTTGTCTTTGAGCTTCTTTTTAAAATTTTCATCTGTGCAGGAAAACCCATTGAATTGGAAGTTAGTATATACATTACAACAATAAATATTTTAAAAGTACTATTATTTAGTCTTTTGCCTAAGATAAAGAAACTAACCCTATAAAAACTGAATATTAAACACTATTTTGTGGCTTTAGGAATGGTACTGCAATGCATGATGCTCTGTGCAAGGTTAGAAAGAAAATATAATTCATCCAAAGACCTAGATTTGAGTTCCTACCTCTGTCACTTCTCTGTGAACCCTGATTTCCTGGTATATTAAAGTTAGGTCTGTGGAATATAAGCAGTCCTTATACTCTACGGGGTGAAAACACCATTAGTGATGTTTGGTTGTAACATTTCCATTACAGGTCAGCACATGGCTTTCCTGAATGTGCCCAGCACTTGGCTTATGACACATGGACCTCACCACTCAAATTCCATGACTCTGACACGGTCTATCTCCCGTTCAATGAGATGAATCCACTGATCACGCAGTGAGATCTTATGCCAACATCAGATTGCTATGAAGTTTCTAAACATTGCTCCCGACCCTTGTATTCATCGGGCTGTGCGTTGGCGATAAGCAGTTCATAGACCAGTGTCCGTCTTTGGGCACCACTACTCCAACATGTCCTCTAGCCCACAACATGATTCCATTTTATTCTTAAAACCCTAAAGGCATGACCTATCTGTGAACGTCCTTTAAAGACTACACAATTCTAGGGATGCCTGGCTGGTTCAGTCAGTATAGTATGTAATTTTTGATCTCGGGGTGATGAGTTCCAACCCCATGTTGAGTGGAGAGCTTCCTTAAAAAACAAAAAAAGACAACGCCAGAATTCTATTATATGCCAAAATATACAAGGGGGAAAAATCCTTCAATGGTTGATGAGTTGAGCTTTCTGATCCATAGGGAACTGCAACTACAGGGATATAAAGCCAGGGTATTCCAGAACCAAGAAAGACATTATAGGTAACCTAACTGAAGCCCTTCATTGTTCAGACAGTAAGGTTACCAATGCTCACATAAAAATGTACTAAAGCTACACTCAACGGAATTTTTAGTTTCAAGAGTCAGAAGTTGATTTGGTAGCTTGCATGCCACAGTGATTTATAATAGCAAAGAAAGGTTAAATCAAACCTAGTGTTGTCAGGTGTTCTGTGCATTTATATTTCCAAATATAACATAAAAAACACATTTCATTCAAGTTATTTTCTATCACATATAACGTGTATTAAAAATGACAGTCCATACAATATTCAAGACAAACTTCCTCAGTTACGAGAAAAATTTTTGATAAATTCACACACGTTTTCAAAAAAGAGGATTATTTTTGCTTTCTAGCAGGGTCGAGGGCTCAATCCATGATAATAAATTTTCATTGATCTTCCAAAGATGCAAAGTCCTTTCCTCTCTTCTCTCAAAAGGGTAGGAATGGTTTCTAAATCTCTTAGTTTGTGCTGTTTCAAGTTCAGTTCAGAGGGAGATAATCCTGGGACATGATAATGTTCCCTTTTAATGCTTTCTGTCACTTACTTGTACTGCCATCTGAACAAGAACTGTCTCGGTAGAATTTACAACTTAGTAATCTAAAATAAACACCGCATGAAGTACAGAGTTGCCCTCCTCCGGCTGCTGAAGAGGAAGCTACTAGATCCCCAGGCACAGGGAAGAGTTTCGGAGGAGACCCTGCTGTCCTGGCCTCAGCTGGTTTCCGCTACCCTTCTCCTTTTGCTGAAAGGACTCACCACTGACACAGGGTTCTTTTGCAGGTGTGGGGAGTAAGGGAGGGCTGTACAGGGAGGTTTCTAACAAAGTAAGAGAACAAATGTCAAATGTATGTACCCACCTCGATCGAGAATTTCCACCCCTTCTCCTTTCATCTTGCACACCAATTTTTCCTGTAGCCTTTTTACTTCAGATTCCTTCTCTTCCAGCTGTTCTTTTAAAGATGCCAGTTCGTCCTACAAATGATAAGCTCATTTTACAACAGTGGATTATGACTAAAGGAGAATATTCAGGGAGCATGTTAACTCTTAAGTCAATAATGAGTTTTTGGGAATGAAACAAAAAAACGATAGGAATCTAGATGCAGACTTCAGAAACCAGACAGTGGCAATAGGAAGCAGGAAGCAAGACAATTAATGAAGGTCAATGTCTAATAATTCTGGTATAAGTGTTTCAAGTTTCTGTGTGACCAAATTAAAACAAAATGCTTTAAAGTGTAATTAGGACCTGAGTAGCCCTAAGTTTTAAAGCTTATGTTAAACAACAAAAAAAATCTCCCCCAGTTAATCAAGGATGATAATCAAATTAGACCCCGAGTGTCATAAAAGCAAAATAAAATGCAAATTGGAAAATATACATCAAGACTTGACTGAGATTTATTTAGTATTTCAAGATGGCATTCATGTTCCCTGAACATGAACAAGCCAGAGCTTAATTGATGGGTAAGGTAGCAAGTGATGAACAATGTTAGCCCAATCATGGGACTAACTAATTCATCTTCATCACCAAAATAAAAGGACAGAGTCTCCCAAAACAATGGAAAAAAGATTTAACAGATTTTAAATCCCCCCCTTCTTTTTTTACTATGTAGCTATTAAAGATTCCAAGTCCAATATTCTATTTACTAATGTTAAATTTTCAGTTTAATTTTGGTGAAGAATTAGCTTTAGCAAACTGAAATTTTGCTGGCTGTATTTTAGCACAGAAAATAAAGCTATGCAGTGGTAATAAGTGTATTTTTATAACTGATAAACATTTTATTTTCAGTCTCTTAATGTAGGTATTGTGTTTAGTACTATGAGAAGATCTCCAAAGAAGCAAGAAAGCTGGCCCTATACTTTTTACTTATGATAGGCACGGATCCCAAGTACAAGGAATTTTCAGTAGCACTGGCAAAAAGCTTCTTTACAGCAGTAATTTCAACTCACAGTCACGATATAGTTAACCTGTAAGAAAGTCCCAAAGGAAGAAGCAGTCTGATGCAAAATGGATATCTTTTTCCAGGTGCATTTTTACAACTATTTTACCAAGCTTGGATCTCAGGTACTCTAAGAGGGTGAGATCAAATTTCTAAATGAATATTTTTATTTTGCCCATTTATTATTTTTCATTCATTATTTCATATGTTTCTGAAAACAACATCAGGGATCGCACTGTCCCTTCCATCAGCTTTTTTAAATGTATTTTTAAAAAAACAGATAACACACACACGATGAATGCACATGCTACTAAAAACACTATCAAGGCAAAACAGTGCAAGCCAGAAAGCAAACAGGCCCAGGACCCCATTACCCAAAGTCTACTACACCTTCAGTGACTCCCATTTTTGTTCCATCCGCTGCTTTTCATACTGCATCTGACCCACCTTGATTTTCATGCTAGAAAGTTTGGCCATTAAAGACTGGTAGAGAGACAGAGGTGTGAAAGAAACCACAGATAGAAAAAGACAAGCCTAAATATCCAAGAAAATAGTATCGGTTTATAAAGGAGGTTAGGTTAACTAACAGAAATAACAGGTTATGTTTCACTAGATTAGTTAAAGCCCCAATTTTTAAAAATTCAGAATAGTGGTGTTCAAATTCAAGAAAGTCTCCAGCTTGGGGGGAAATTTCATTCACTTGTAAGATAACTTCTTTATCATCTATTGAGTTGAGAACTTGTATTACGGATCATAGATAAGTGAGTCAGGCTGTTTACAAATTTTTACCCTTGAGAAAACTTACCTTGGTTGATTTCAGCTTTTTTTCATACTGAAGTCTTTCATTGTCCATTTCACTGACTCTTAACCTCAAATCATTGATCTCTTGCATTAGCCCCTGTCAAAGAAGGAACAATGAAACACATTAAGAAAGCAGCAACACACCTATGTAGGCCAAAATAGCAGCTTGGAAACCTAAAGTCAACAAGCCCCTGGGTTCGGGTTGTATGAATTGGATCAGACAAATGGAAATAAATGTATCTCCCTGAGACCCAAAGCATCTTTCTAGTTAAAACACTATTTTAAATTCTCCATGCATCTGGCCTACAATCATGAGATTATGGAAATCAAAGGTAATTCTTTAAAATTTAAATTCCAATAATTAACATATAATGTATCATTAGTTTCAGAGGTAGAGGTCAGTGATTCATTAGTCTTATATAACATCCAGGCTCATCACATCACGAGCTCTCCTTAACGCCCATCCCCCTGTTACCCCATCCCCCCACCCACCACCCCTCCAGCAACCCTCAGTTTGTCTCCTATGCTTAAGAGTTAAAAGGTGACTTTCAATTTTGATTAACAAAGGTAGCTAATCGCATACATCAATCATCAGCTATTTCTGGACTAAAAATCACCATATAGATTCCGACTTTAAAAATTAACTAGAAAAATTTTCTTTAGTAAAGCCATTACTTTTAGGGCCTTTTCAGCGATCTGTGGGTTATTTATAAAAATATTTTTACAATGTCTTCCTTTGTCTAACAAAAATATAGATTGTTCATCAACCCAGTCTGGGAGAATGGAATGGAATTTAAATCCTTTTATTGTTTTTTTGAAATGTAAACCTTTTAAACCAAGGATTCTCAACTTGAGGGTGGATGAGGGCCCTGTAATTTATAAATACATTGTCATAACATGAATGTTACAATCGGAACAGGAAAAAGAAAATAATCCTAAGGTTTTCATAATACAAATACAGCCAGATGCTTTTCTCTTTCACATTAAAAAACAAAACAAAACAAAACAAAAAAACAAAAACTAATTTGCTTGTAAAACTTGTCTAAGTGTTCTAAGAAACAGTAACGTATTTTTGTCTAGAGCCCAGACAGTAGGAAAAGGAAATCAGAATGCCACACAATAACAACTTCAAATACTGTGGAAAGGATTTCTTTTTTTATTACAAACCATCAAGACCCCACCAATGGTTAACATGTTTTTATTCCTCATTTTACAAGTCCTCTACTCTTGAGCCACAAATAAACAGATGACAGAATTATACAAAAATGCCATAAAAAAGAAGCAATACCATAAGAAATAAAACTTTCTTACTAAACTTCTATGAGTAATGATTCACATATGGAGAAAGGGATGCCTTTCCTAAATTACTTAACAGTACTATATAATAATTACTCATTAGTTATTATTATAATTATTTTTTCTTTTCTTTTTTTTTCCTAAAGAGAGAGGGCAAGAAGGAGAGACGTTACAAGCAGACTCCCACTGAGCATGGAGTCCTAGGCAAGGCTCAATGAGATTCTGACCTGAGCCAAAATCGAGTCAGAGGCTTAACTGACAGGGCCACCCAGGTGCCCATAGGACAATTGTTTATTAATACAGTACCTCAGTAAGGGAACAGCTATTTTCTCCTTTCACGAATGAGGTCAGGAACTGTTTGACATCATTTAATAACATTTTAGTTGTGATTCTTTATCTACAGGTTCAGAATTCAAGTCTAAGGAAAAAGTCAGTTTCTACCATTTATTTATCTCCCATTTATTAATCATTCTTGCATACTAGAATTCTTAGTGACCTTCCTTCATCTCCTGGTCTTTTTAATTTATATCTTGCCACTTTTTCATGGTTAGCCGCTTTGAATTCCTATTTGGTATTGTCTTATTTTACCACTTCTTTTAGAAACAGTGACAACCTGCAAAAAGAAGTAACTGAAGAAAACAGAATTATAAATTGAGATAATTTTTCTATTAAAAAACAAACAAACAAACAAACCCTACCCAAATTTCCCTTCTGGCAACACTGTAAGTATGAATGTAAATCTCCAACCTGAAAGAAGTCCTGTTTTTCCATAGTCACTCAAGCTGGAAAATCTGGAAATAGCTCCTTAATATAAGACTTTAAAATAATGGAATTCAAATTATTTCCAATTCAGTTCTTTATGAAAAGAAAATCCCAGTTACTAGTCCCTTTTCCCTCTCTGAGTAACTCTTCAGGCTCCACAGAAACGCAATTTCTGGCATCTCTACTCTTACCAGAAGGGGGCACTGTTGAATAGTGTTAAGCATCTCCTATCAGCCATTCCAGGCAAGTCTTCAAAATTCCAGGATTTCAGGACTTTTACCCCTAATCTTTCAGAAGTGCCTATACTTCTTCCCCACTCCAATATTTTCTTAGAAATTAATCTCCAAATAATCTAAAATTCTAAGACAAAGTTAAGGAATTTTGGATTCATGAAACAGCCAAGGAAACTTTTGTTTGTTTGTTTTTAAAGGAGGCTCCAGACCCAATATGGGGCTTGAACTCATGACCCTGAAATCAAGAGTTGCACGCTCTACTGACTGAGCCAGCCAGGCGCCCCCCAAACATTTTATTAAGGGAACAATAATAGGAAAGAGCACATTCAATTTGGTTTTAATTTTGAGGACTATTTTATTTATTGTCATATGTAATGAGGTTGATCAGATTATAGCTTATAATCTCTAGATATGCATGCGGTTATTTTACCAATAGTGTTGAATATATTAGAAAATTATCAAGGATTGAGTTTACAGAAAGTTTGATGACAGGATCACTTTGCTTATGATTGAAAATGCATGAATGAAGGAAGGAAGCACCAGGGAAAAAAAGTTTTATTAAAAAAATGCAGACGGGGCACCTGGGTGGCTCAGTCGCTTACATCTCTGACTTGATCTTTGGCTCAGGGTTATGGAATCGAGCCCCACGACAGGCTCCTGGCTCAGCACAGAGTCTCTTGAGATTCTCCCTCACCTTCTCCCCCTGCCCCTCCTCCTGCTCACATGCTCTTTTTCTCTCAACTAAATAAAATCTTTTTTTTTAAAAATGCAGACAAACTCAAGATATGTGACTATTGCTCTGGAGTCTTACAAAAAAATCCTAACACATCCACTTCTATTTAGTCCCAATGCTTGGTTAATATCCCAGATCCAAATTAACCAGTCGTGCAGGTTGACTCCCCCTCAACTTTATGGACACAAGGGAAAGGGCCAACTCCTGACCAGAACACTGCAACTTCTTTCCCTGCACCAGAGTAACCTCTATGGCACACCGTCCATCTGTTGACTGAACTCTGTCATGTTATGCAGCAAGCGTGGAGTCAGGGAACGACAGAGAGGAAATAGAGGAAAATATCCAAACGGATTTTTTCAAGAAAGCACAAAAGGGACAATTTTAGAGAAACTCGGTGACTTTCTCAGTTCTGTTATAAGAGCCCCAGCCTCAATCAAGTGAGGAACATGCTCATATAGGTGACTGACAAAGAACTTTAGAAGATTAAACGTGAACTAAGTTGGGGATTTCCTTTTGCCATTGAGGAAGTAACACATACGCCAAGACTTTCCATTACAGTTCCATTTTGGCAGAAAATTTAATTTGGAAAATAGCAATGGAGTACATCTCACTAAAGCCAGTCTATGCGGGACTTGCCCACAGTGGGTAACATACCTAAGGTACCCCATTATCATGATGGTATAGAGTTGGCTTCAAAGAAACGTGTGCAAAGCAAACAGAGGGGGAAGAATACTTAAATGAGTTCTTCTCCTCTCCGCTTCTTGGGACCCAGTTTCTAATGCAGTATGACAACTTTCCATACTCCAACCGAGGAAACAAGAGAGAGAGAAAGGAAGAGATGTCCCTGGGAGATAAGGGAGTCCTGCAGATCTTCAAATTTTTTCCAAATAAACAGATTTCAAACGGATATTATCTCTTTTCCCAGCAACAAATAATAAGCAAATAAAAGACCCAGATTAACAATAAAACAGTCCAAAGAACAAAACATGTTTAACCACAAAAATGGGTACTTCAAGTTGTAGAATCTATCCCAAATTTCACAAAAGTATAGCGAGCTTTATTTAATTGGTATGATTTATGTGTGGAAGAGACCAAAAGTAGGCCAAACTAAATAAACTCTAAAAATCTGATTTTTATGATTATATAATAAAAGCATGTTCTCTGTACGTATTTTCAAACTTACTTATTATATAGAAAATAATCAGTACAACTTAAAAATGGCTATTAGTAAAGTGATACACTTAAACCCATTATTTCCATAATGAAGAAAACCACTATGGATGGACAGGAGGACAGACAGGCAGACGAACAGAGAGAAGCTCCAAATGTCACAAAGTGAAAAGTTCTTTCTAAAGACTAATGAAAGGTTAAAATTACATTATCAAAAGTCTCACAATTTAAAAAAAGGTTATGAAGGGGCGCCTGGGTGGCTCAGTGGGTTAAAGCCTCTGCCTTCAGCTCGGGTCATGATCCCGGCGTCCTGGGATCGAGCCCCGCGTTGGGCTCTCTGCTCAGCGGGGAGCCTGCTTCTCCCCTCTCTCTCTCTGCCTGCCTCTCTGCCTACTTGTGATCTCTGTCTGTCAAATAAATAAATAAAATCTTTAAAAAAAAAAAAAGGTTATGAACAACAACAAAAAGTCTCACAACAAATACTGCCATGAGCATTTAGTGATTAAAAAGTCAATGTAAAAAAAGCCAATGTAATTAAAGATTATTCCTAAAAAGGAGCACGGATGAACGGGAGCATGTAGTAATTAACTACCTCCCCCTCATGCCTACAAGGAATTTCAACTTGCTCTGGAAATATGTGTATGACATATACACATGCACACACATATGTATGTAAAGAGGAGGGTATCACTTACCTCCGTGTCTCTGAACCTATCTTCATAATCCAATCTATCCTTCTCCACAGCGGTCAGTTTAAGCTTCAAGTTAGATATTTCAGCCATCAGATCCAACTTCTGAGTTTCTAAGGATGTCCTACTCAGAAGCTCCTATTGGAATTTAAGAGATACACTCAAAACTTGTTTTATTACAAATCACCACATATGATTGTGTCTTACCCCTGCAAAGCAGTAACTATCAAGTCGGGAATGTGGTAAAGATTAGTCACTGAACAGATAAAATTTGAAAAAATTATCTGCTTCTGTGAAACTTCATTGAGCAGAACTAAGTGTGCGCTTGCTTCCTGGGGAGACGTACATGCTCTAGATACGCAGAAATCTTAAATGTGTCAAAGCCTGATGAGAACACTGATGCTGACAGGGTCGCTCTGTGTCAGGCACTGTTCTGATATGGTTCGATCCTCAAAACAACCTTCTAAAGTAGAAACTCCTACTAAAGATAACTCATGAATTATCCTTGTTCAACAAATGAGGAAGGTGAGGAACAGAGAGGCTGAAAACCTGCCAAAGGTCATACAGCAAGGATGTGGCAGAGCAATGACTCAAACTGAAACAGTCTCCTTCCAGTACGTACCCTACCTGCTATATTATAGGTGCTCTCGTCTACGAGCACTGTGTGTGTGTTTGTGTGTGTGTTTGTGTGTGTGTGTGTGTGTGTGTATTACAAGTTTGGGTTTGTTTTTTTTTTTCCCCAGTAAAAGTCACATACGGTACGTATCTTTTTTCTTAATCATAAAATATATGCTCATATCTGGGGATTAGGAAACTATATGCAAATTTAAAGAAGAACATTAAAACTACCTATAATCCTATCAATATTTTACTCCAGATTCTAATTACATGAACACTTTCTATTGTATGCATATGTTTTGAGACCCTGTTACCCTAGGTTTTTGCTTAAAATATGCCAGTCTCGGTGAATCATGAACTTCAATGCTGCATCCAAGGGAACACAACATACAAGTGCAGAACTTCAAATAGGTGAGCAAGAAAACCCCACCTCAGTGAAGGCTTCTGAACATACCTGCTGCAGCATTTCCTCTGTGGCGTTCAGCTTCTCCCGGTGCTCCTCAAGACAAAATTCCAAATCTCGAATCTTCTCCCCCTGAGCCTCCACCTGGTCTGTTAACACACTTACCTGTATTTAGAGCAAAATACTGCAATAGATTAGGAAGGATTTGGGTCCCACTGCAAACTTTATTTCTCTAAATAGAACAAAAACTGGAATGATGTCACTACCCATTTGTTGTAAGGAAAAAAAAAAACTATCAATAAGACAGCAGTCCTTTACAATCCTATTTAAGTGATGCTTCTTGACCTGCGGACTCCCAATTTTTAAGGAGGTTAGGGCTGATTGGGGATATGCAATACCTTGTAGTTATAGGTTAACATAATTTCAACCATTTTATGCGAGAGGGTATGTGCATAGATCATCATTTTTGGGGAGGTTGGAATGGGAGTGGGAGGTAGTATTAGAGATTAAGAGAGGAAATGGAGTTATGTTTGAAAGAGAAGCTGTCAAGGACTACACGTGAGTTTTTCCCCACTATCACCAATCCCGTAAATACACTGCAATTTACTTAGCTCAAAATACCAAAATAAAAATGTTTGTCGTGCATTTAAAACATTAAGAAGAAGAAAACTCGTATTTAGCCACTAAACCAGACTCCACTACTCACTTCTGTTCAGCTCACGGGATCATTTTTAAAATTGAAAATTAAATAGATTCAGATTCAAAAACATTCAGATTTATGAAAATCTGTGGTATAAAATTGCAATTTATGCTACAAATTAAAAACACCAGATCAACTAAGATGACAGATCAGATCAGAAAGTCAGCTTAGGTGACACTGTGGCTGTCATCAGAGGAGCTGGGGCTGCTCACTCTAGACTGGGGAGGCACACCTTTGTGCTGCCACAGTCCTCACCACTCCCTATTGTGGTACACACTTATTTCTATCAGCCTACACACTTATTTCTATCAGCAATCCGGCTCCCAATTAATGGGAATATGAATATGCCATCCCAATTTAAAATGGTCTTTGTAAATATGTTGTGGAGGAAGAATAGCATTGTTAAAAATCACTTGCCTGAAGAACGAGAGATTCTTTATCATTTTCTAAACGTGCTAGCCTTTCTTGATACACCTCTCCATTTCCGGGCAGGTGTCCGTTTGTCTGAAAAGATGAAGGAGTATGTGTAAACTCTCTTTAAAACTGAAACGACTGTGGGCAAATAAAATGGCATACATTCTTAATCCAAGGAACCTGAATAGAATTCAGCCAGCTGCTGCAGCCACTGGTAGAAAACACGAGACTTAAACTTGGTCCATTTAACTCAAAATAGGTAAAATGGGCATGGTAGGCATGTTATCACCAAACCAGACAAGTTCCCATCAAGCAGAAAAATCATGACCTAAAAGGAACAGGGGTTACTAACAGTCGCTCGCAGGGACGCATAGCTGCGTCATGCAAAGTTTCGCGAGTGTGTGGTCAGGCAGAAATTCCTTATGCCACCCGAAGGATCTGTGCTACTAATTCTGGGTGGGGGCACTGAGAATGTCCTGGGCTGCCCTTACGTGCCTCCCCTCTCCTCCCAAGTTGCAAACCCAGAACTGCAAATGCCTGTCTTTACAGAGGAGGCTATGGGGGCGGCTCACATCAGCTTCCTCCCTGCTACTCAGGACCAAATCTCAGGGCAAGCCTTCCCTTTAGCTTTGAAGCCTTTCTTCCTTCCCCTGAAAGCTTAGGAAGCAGTCCACAACGACTTCCCCCAGCCGTCGCCATCCACACTTTACCAGGAACTTTATTAGCTCCCATCCTGACTCCACTCTTTGTGACTTTGCTCAAGTCTATTATGTTATGCCGAGCTCCTGCAGAGCCTGGAAACAGGTATCATCCTGCAACCACAGCACTGGCCTGGGGCTCTGTTAGACTCGTGCTTGCCTTCTTCACCTCCCTCCAGCCCCGCACGTTTTGTATCAGATTCGGACATGTCTGTGCATGGTGTAAATGCCGAAGGAAACACTGATTGGGAAAGCGAGTCTCATTTTTTTCTCAGCTGTCTCATATATAAAAGTCATTAAGGAGACACACAAAAAGGCTCACGGAGAGCAGACAACATAAAAACATCATTTTGAAATACAGCAGTGTATCTGATATGTCCCTTGTTATCTCATATAAATAGCTCATAATCATATGACAGGTAATCCCAATAGAATTTCCTGATTCCTCATTCAACTACAACAGAAATAAAAGCCACTGGAGCTCAAATTGGTTAGACAGGGCCGTCCAGAGGCCAATCAAGAAAGCAAATAACTTCAGGGGCGCCTGGCTGGCTCAGTCGGTTAAGCATCTGCCTTCGGCTCAGGCCATGATCCCAGGGTCCTGGGATGGAGTCCTACATCAGGCTCCCTGCTCAGCAGGGAGTCTGCTTCTCCCTCTCCTCCCTGTGCATGCTCTCTCTCATTTTTTCTCTCTCTGAAATAAATAAAATCATCTCACAAAAAAAAAAAAAAAAGGCAAATAACTTCAGGTTTAAACCAGAGAAACACAAACTCAACCTTATTGCCCAAGGACACAGCAGATGTGACATCTATTATTTTCCAGAATTAACTGGTATTCTTATACTACCTTTCCAAATAATGCAGTTTCCCATATAAATTCTGGGAGTAATAAAAGGCATGTGTTGAGCACGCGCGTGCGCGCGCGCGCACACACACACTCACACACACACACACACACGTGCATGCACATGCTAACAAAAAAAGAAATTGCAGGATGTTGCTTCTAAAAACTTAGATGCACTGGATACATTTCCCATGAGGCCACAAAAGAATCAGAAGCTAATTGACGAAGGCTGCAACATGTATTTAGAGTGGATAAAGTTTTTTAACATCAGCTTGACCACATACCTGCCCTATAACCATTGCATAATTCTGTTTATATTGTAGACTGAAGTATCCAAATACAATTACAAGTTGTGGCCTGAAAGACTTCCAACCCCCGGGACTACCATGAAAATGAAATTTATATAATTTCTTAAGGACAGTTTTTTGGAAGAGAGCCAGGATGTATGATACACGTTCTCAATCTGAAGCAGTACTCAGACTGGCCTTCTACAGCTTTGAATTCCTCATTCTGATGATGAATGTTAGCAGGCATCTGCTTTTAAAACCCCATGTACTTTTATAAACAGATACATTTCATGAGGTAGGAAAAAAAAAGGTTTCTGTTCACTGAGGATAAAAAGCAAAAGTTGTTATTTCTTCTGATGAAAAGATTAGAAATGTTGCTATAGCAAGTTCTAGAAGGGTTTCACGAAGCTACTGCATTTGAAATGGAAATCAGATGTTCCAAAATCAGTATCACAAAACAATCTTAAAATCAAAATACTAAAAATTGACTCACAATGAGGATACTCACACTTCTCAAGACTAGTGATATTTACGAGAGCTCATAATGCTTGAGGAGTTCTTTTTTTAAAAGACCACAGGTCACCACAGCAAAACAAAGCCAAAGTTAAGAATCACCAATGGAGTAGTTAAATACTTTTAAAGGCGTGCGTTGACCTAGTCAAGCAGGTAAAAGTCTAGTCTCTTCACACATTTATTTATATTTCTGCCAATTCTGTTACCTTTGACTTAAGAATGCTAGCAAGAGGTAAATTCCATTAGGCAAATACCTTACCACCTCTATTTTTCCTCCAACTCCCAAGCTTTACCAACCAGACCACTCAAAACCTCCCCAGACGTGGCATGCACTCTCGAATTCTATTCCTTTGGCATGGGCCGTATTTCCCACCCTTTCCTCATCTTTCCTCACTCTGTAAAGTCCAGCTCAACCCAGGCTTGGCCTGTGAAGTGCTCCTTGAGTTACCTGTTCACTCATATGCCAGTTAGAGATTCCAGATGAACCCTCATCGTGGCAGGAATCACACTAAACAGATGAGGTTAGACTTGGCTACATATATGTTCCCCTCTTCCAACAAACTGCCTTCTTTGTGAGTAGGTTTGCCTTTGCATCTGGCACACAGTGAGTTTGAACCAAATGACTGTGGAATGAATAACAAGTGATAGGTGTTCAATAACCATCAGATGAATACAGGATGAATGAACACTTGGTTGCAAGTTGGCCCTCTCACTTCTCACTCCGTGGTTGACCCGAAGCCTGTACTCCCTCTTGCTACCATGTTTAGGAGGTGTTTTCAGAGCCTTTTTAATGGACTATACTTGAGACTATCTTGCATGAACTCCCTTATATACTATCTTCTCCAAAGCAGAGTATATATGGCCTCCGACATCTTCCCTTTCTTCTGCCATCTTGGGGGAAGTGAGTCTTACTTCCTGCTCAAAGCTCATTATTCCACATAACCTTTGGATCCTTAATGTCCTGCTTCCCTGAGACTTACAATTACCACCTCTACCCATACCATTCTCAATTTCTTCCTCCTAGTGAACTCTCTTCCACTGGCCACTCCAACATCTACTCCAAGGCTGTGCATCCACCACTATACTCACCCATCATTCCTCTCTGCCTCTACAGATCCATTTTTCTTAGCCAGTTCTCACCTCCTCCTTCTTACCTTATGCCATACTCTCTTCTCCCCTTACACTGGTTTCCCTTCTCTGTCTTGTCTTGTCCTTCACCACTTAGCTTTTCACCATATTCTGCCATGGATGGCTTCCTCGTGACCTTACGAGAGGTGGTCACTTATTCTCCTTAACGGTCCCTCAAGGCAAAACTATCTTACATTTCTTTTGATTCTCCCAAGATTCTTATAAAATCATGGGCATAGAATTAAAAACACATTGAGTATCAACTCTCCTTGAGTCGATTTGACATCCAAAGCACTGAACACCAGCTCAAATTACTTTACTCAAAATCCCAGAGATGCCTTCAAAATAACTCTTCACACTTTCACTCATGATGCAACCCCATACTGACCACATTCGATGCAACTGAAAGTTTAAGTCAAAATCAGCATCGGCTTGGGAATTTCAATAGTACAGTAGCCAACTAACAGTGTGTGTGGAGGAGGGTATGGGACACTCGGGAGGGAAAAGCAAGGCAAGGGATCCAGCTCGAATGCAACAGTGATACTTTAATTAAGGAACTCATGGTGTTTGCCAGATTTGCCTGGCATGATACGGGTAAAATGTCTAAACGGCTCTATTCCTTACAGAATTATAGAATCCAAAAGTTAGCCAGCAACCACCCCTGGGAATATGAGTTGCCTGAATTCACGCGGCAGATGCTCCATATAATGTTAAAGGCACAATATACCTCACCCACAGTCATCTAGATAGAAGCTATTTATATTATTTTCCTTTTAATGATCAAGTATAAAGATGTAATAAATGTTAGCATCTTGCCTCCCATGCCTCCCTTTCAAAAACTGTCTTATTATACAAAATTTCATTTGTATCTGAAAGTAGAGACCTTAAGTACCCATCACACAACAGTATCAATGGTTACTACTTCAAGGTAGGCAGGAACGTTTCGCCCGTTATTTTTACTTAAAGCATCGTGCTATACTTTCCTTTAATTTTCTTAGTTCTGTTGGTTTGCATTGGTTTCCAGTTGACTCCCCTCTCTCCCCAGCTTCATTTTGCTTTGTTCTTCTTTCCAGAGCTCTGCTGTCCTGTCTAAATCCCAAACCAACAAGCAAGCAGTGATTTGCCACAATTACACTTAACTTCTGTTGTAACACAGAACTCAGTTTGAATAGAACATTCCCAAATCAGAGTGCTGAGTAGCTAAATGACAACGTGGAAAAGAAAATCAGTTCCATTTTATAAGGACAACAAACGTTAAGAAACAGTTGGACTGCTGCTATAACACACACACACACACACACACACACACACACACAGATACACATAGTCTCCACCAAAGTCAATACACTTATTTTTTTTTAAAGATTTTATTTATTTATTTGACAGAGAGAGAGAGATCACAAGTAGGCAGAGAGGAGGGCAGAGAGAGAGGAGGAAGCAGGCTCCCCGCTGTGCAGAGAGCCCGATGTGGGGCTTGATCCCAGGACCCTGAGATCTTGACCTGAGCCGAAGGCAGAGGCTTAACCCACTGAGCCACTCAGGTGCCCCTCAATACACTTATTTTTTAAATTAGTTTTAAAAACTGCCATCCAGTATTTTATTTCATGATGACATTTTTCAAAATTCTGTATCAAGGGAAAAAAAGGAAGGCGTGGCCCTCTAAACCTCCTTTGGTTAAATTTATCTCCAGCCACTCAAAGAACCCTCTCACACCAGGGCCTCGTGCACCCTAACCAGCACTACCTCTCTACCACTGCGTGCAGACATTCGTTTGCCTGCTCTCTACCAGACACTGGAGTAGGAGGAGAAACGGAGAAAGACAGGAAGTCCACGAACACCACAGTCACATTTCACCAGGGCCTAACAGCACAAGAAGGAATCTCATACGCTATTGTCCAAAGAATAAATGAACGTGATGGTCAAGAGCACTGGAAGTCAGGCCACCAGGCAGCAATACTCCGCTCCCCTGTCCTCTCACCAAATGTGATGGAATCAGGGCGGTGAGGCTCTCACCTTGTGCCATGCATAATGATCTCAGGGCAACACCACTGCCACTGGGAGCCACTGGAGCGTCCCCACTGGAGTGTCCCCACTGATTGGCTGATGACGCTATGTACTAGCAGGTCTGCCTCCATCAATCTTGAAACACCCCATTTATTGTCTCCTCCGAAATTTCTGTTATGACTCTAAAAAATAAATACGATACCGAGGCAATACGGACAACCCTTTCAGGAAGCTGTCTATTTCTTCCAAAATCTCATCAGGTCTGCTCAAAAAGAAATCCAAAGGGAGAAATCCATCTCACATACACAGCGTCACATCCAAAAAGCCCACTCGTGACCCTCTCCTAGAAAAGATGCCTGTTTATTCAGTGTCGCCAGAAAGTGCATCGAAGCCCGAAGCTCAGGATAAGCCTGAGTACCTCCTGTACTTTCCAAGTCAAGAGAGCAGATGTGGTCAAAATCAGAAATATGGCTTTTATTTCTGGGTTGTAATTTTTCTTGGTGCTTGTTTTCCAGAAACAGAACACATCTCCTTCACTCAATAGCCAACGGGAGCAAGAAACAAGTGTTCGGTCAGGGGGTGAGAAGGACCCCAGTAGCAGGCCGACTTCTAGGATGCCCTACTGCTAAAATGGAACTCCATCTCAAATGCCTGTAAGAGCAGCAGGTGCCAAGTGCTTTCATCTGCCGGTCTCATTAGAAATATCTTGAGGGAGCGTCCCTGGAGGGATCTGGGTCTTTGTGGCCAAGCTCCAGTGGCTAGCCCGTGACACAGTTGATGCAGGCACAGCTCCTTGTCCATGCCTCCGTGGCCAGGGCAGAGTTTGACAGATGTCTTTAGTGTCCCCTAAAAGGTTCTTTCAGACACCTTACTTGAGCAGGGGAGCCACGTTCTGGCCCTTCCTCACCTCATTTTCATGCCCACCACCATGTTCCCTGAAGCTTCTGCAGGGGGGAGAAGGGGACATGTTGAGACTACACTATCCTGGTTGCAGGGATACTCCAAAGCCCTCTGAGATCCAGAAGGATGAACTAAAAGAGCCCTAGAAGCTAAGACCCAGCTCCTATTTGAGTAGCTTCCGATATTCATGTGCCCATCCACTATTCATTCACTTATGCAATATTTCCTGAAAGCCAGCCATGTGACAGGATGGACATATAGCAAGAGAAGGGGAACACGAGATCAAGAAAAAAATGCTGTCCTTATTTTTCCTGCCCCTTAGCCCTTCTTGACTCACTTTCATGAAAGAACAGACACATCTCTTTCCATTCAGTCCTCACAAACATTAGTTGCTGGGGATTTCATGATAAAGCTCATCTCTCACTTATCATACTGTGCTGGCTTCTCCCAAGAATTCTGCTGACTCGCTCCATTTGTTGCCCTGCATCTGTGGACACTTTTCATGGGAGTTTACCAGAAGCCTGGTACCAGAAGGGGGAAGGCAGCTTTCAAGTGAGCTAGGATGTCTCAGTGAGAGACTGCCGAACTCAGATGATCTGTGACCCTGTGACCCAATCTTAAGATGGGCCTTGTTTGCCAAAGCTGGAACAAACATTCCCTGGAGACACACATGAAAAGGGAAGCTGGGCAGAGAGCAGCGGGGGGTTCTGGGGACGGTGGGCCTGGAATGGGTCATGTGGAGGAGAGTCAGGGACTGGAGAGAATGTGCCCCAAGTCTGAAGTTATGAGTATTTTTATTTTTATGAAACTTGTTCTAAAAACTTTTTTAAAAGATACACTTGCAACTAATAGGGCCTATTTTTTAAATGTAGGAATAAGATGGAAATGTATTGTGACTTATCAGGTCAGAAGCCAGTGAGGCACACTTCACTTTATCGGCCACGATGCCAATTTGGATTTCTATCATCGCAGTTCCACTCACTTTGCTGAAAACTGCACTTTTGTCATTTCTGCTGATTTTGCAAATGCCTCATATTAAAGTTGCTAAGTAACTGGACACTTGTGGGATTTTATGCCCTGATCAAGGTCATGATCCTCAACGTCATCTATTGGGAAAAGCATAGTATGAATGTTCTAGGCAACTCATGGAGTTAGACCTAAAGCAAACAGAAACTGCTTGCTTGGCTCAAATAATTTGACATATTTTCTGTTTGCCCTCTTGAACTTAGAGCTTGATAAAGCATGTAATTCTCCATCATTAATATCTCTATTAACAGGATAATACTTCTATTTCAGTACTTGACCAAATACGGCATACTCAACAGATTTGGGTTTTTGTTTGTTTGTTTGTTTGTTTTAACCACAGGAGAGGAACTGCGGAGTCTCAAACTTGTCAGTGTTTAGAAGGCTACAGCTAGAGCTACTTTATTCAAACAAATTCATTCTTAGTGATTTAATATCCCCTTACAAGTAACAAACTATTAATGTGACTATTTTCTTTCTTCTCAACCAGCTTCTGATCATATGAAAGAATGACACAGGCAGCAGAAATCAGTAGGAAGACGAGACACCCGACAGGAAACCAGGGGGTCTCCTGGCCCAGACAAAGTAATTAGAACTGCAAATGCCCAGTGGCATTAATGAGAAGATCAGTATCAGTCTTAAGGACATGGACTCCCAAGATGGCTATCATTAAACATAAATGAAATCTTAATTATGTAACTGGTAATAAGTTCCTAAAATATTGTAAAAGCTTCTCCATAGTCTGAAAAATGTCTGCACTCTTGTAAAAAAGTGAATCATGTAGGAGTAACACGGAATTGGAGCCAACACTTTCTTTCCCTCTTTGCAAATGGATCCCGTAGTTTTCCCTCCATTCTCTACAATCTCTTCAGTATTATATTTTTGACTCATCTACCAGGCTCACTGACAAGCACTCATAAATTAGCTCCTGGGACTCACAATCCTGTGCGGCAGAAGCTGTTGTCCCCATTTCACAAACGAGGAAATGAGACAAACAGCTTAAAAAATTTCCCCCAAATCATGCAAGCTTCTAAGAAACAGCCCCAAAATCAAAATTCAGGTCTGCTGTCTCCAGCACCTGCATTGGGAAATGCCAAGATACAATCCAACCATCAATTTTATCACAGTATTAATGTTCTCATTTTTGGTGGTGGTAAAATACACACAGAAAATTTGTCACTTTTACCATTCTTAAGCATATAGTTCAGTGGCATTACCCATATTACAGAAAGAACACTTTTTCTGTCTTCTTCTCTCAATATTTCTAGTGGCATTCTTTAGATTTTATTTGTTCCAAATGTATTAAAACCATGGTATTTACCAATGTGTTCAGGGAAAGGGCAGATCCGCCACACCATCCATTTTTGAGACAGGATGCCTAGAAAGGGGCTTCGCTGTTCCAGGAAGAAGAACGCCATTGGAAGCCCAATTCTACAGCTTCCCTCACACCCTAGAACTGACATGACCCCTGCAGATCACTAGAGGGCACTTCCTATCAGATACTGCAGACCTCCGCCTCGCTGCCTTTGGAGGTTCTATTCACTCTGCTTCCTATCTGAATTGCTCTTGGTCCTTTTACAGTAAATTTTCCAATAGTACTAAGAAAGCATCTATTACGTACAAGGTTCTTTCCTTTACAGGACTATTTGTTCTAGGCCACAGCAGGTCATCCAAGAAAGCTAGTCCACCTTTAGAGGCAAAATCAGGTGATGGGCTGGAGCCCATGAAATGTACACTAACATTATCCTTAAAGGGAACTGGGATGCATTAAGGGATAAAAATCACAGTGAACCTGCTGCCCTGTACTTTTTTGTTGTTGTTGCTCTAATCAGTTACTCTATGTTCTCAATTTTGGAATAAGCCACAAGAGATTCAGAGTGCAGGATTATCTACCATTTGACTCTGAAGCCATTCGACGAGTGTTTCTGCTGTTGAATCTGGGATCTGGCATCTCAAACCTTCCTTCTCATCTGTGTCCATCATCTCCAACAATCCACGCAGGTCTTCCACAAGGTGCAGAGCTCGCAGGCTTCCCATGAACGGGGAAGTGGGAGACTGGCAATCAAAAATCCCATTGGAATATTCCAGGGCCTTAGAACCTAGGTTAAAAAAATAAAAAATCACAGAGAAAGCAACAGGGTTTATATTACATAGTGTCCAAAAGCTGAGGTGGCAAGCAAGCCCAGTCACAGCGAAGAATAATCAAAACAAGCAAAAAGGAAAAGAAAATAAAGCAGTCATGCGAATCTCTCCAAGTCATAGTGATTCGGTGTAAAAATAAAATCCATATAATTGATGGTAAATATCAATCACCAAATACCTAACAGGGACGTCAACTGTGTATTACGGTAAGAATATAATGAATGGACTTTGGTGAAAGATGTGCTGACCTCATGGAAATAAGGGCTAAGAAGGTAGCAGATCAGTGTGGATAGAGCCAAGTACTCCCAAAAATATAAATTTAGGTACCATAAGATTTTGAGAAATTCCCTGCAAAGAAGTTGCACAATTTGGTGGAAACTGCATAGCATAATGTCAAGGGTAACAGGACCGGCTCCCGGTTAATTTACCAGAATTTAATCTTTGGAGAATTTCAATGAATTACATGTATACATTTGTGTATGTACACTAGTGTGTGTCTGTGTTAACATTTTCTCCCATGATTTTGTTTGCAGCCTCGCATCAAACACTCTTGCTAATATCAGCTTTAAAAAATAGTTTTAAGCCCTTCTTTCCCTATTACTTATAAGGGAAAGCGTTTTATGACTTGAATGTACATAACTAACCCATTGCCTGCTCAGAAACCACTCAAATATACCTCTTCATCTCTTTGATTTTTATTTTCTGGTCTATCAAATATACATATTAATTATATGTACTAACTTTAAGTGTCAATAATTATGATATTTTGACTACCACCTCATTAATCTGAGGGTCTTATAAAGGGAAGAAAAGTGCAAACCCATGTGTAAATTCTCTCTCCAGTTGCCACACAGCTTGATCAATTCCAACCATAGGGAGAGGCATTTTCTTTCGGTTAGTCCATTCCACTGACCTTCCTTAGAACTGGACCAAATGATGAGGACCAAAATCTGCCAAACTGTAATAATGGTAACCACTGATATGCCAGGCCCAATGGTAAATGCTTCCCATGACCTTCCCCTCAGGAACCATGTAAGGCTGAGAGGAAAATCCAGAAAAATAGAAATTGAGGAGAGTATGTCAGGGAAAGGGAGGAATAGTAGAGCATTTTAAAAACAAAACAGGCCATCGTGTCCTATTCCAGTAGTTTTAAGCACTACAATCACCTGATAATACTATTCACAATAGATGTACCCACAATAACCTTCCACTCTTAAGTCTCCATCACAAAACAAGGTGAGGGATAGGGGAGAAATGCGTATTTAGAAAAACTCCTCAAATATTTGCAGTCACATCTCCGTCTACCTTAGGTGGAGAGCTACTGAAAGTAATCTGAGAACATAAAGCCAGGTCCTACCCACAAAGCTACTGACTGCGTCAGTGTGAGCTGGGACCCAGGAAGTCTTGATTTTCTGAATAACTCTAATGTTGGTCCTGAAGCCCTGCCAGGGCTAAGGAACAAATATACTCATCTAGTAGAGTATGTAAAACGTCAGTCCTCAACTACTGTCCAGAAACACCACTTGTCTTGACTACGGAGTTCCACTAAGAGTTTGAGGTTATAACCTCTGATAACAGCCTAGGATCTGGCTCTGGTTATATTTTCCGAAACTGTGATACAGTAAGTCCAATCTCTTTTCCACGTAATAGTCCTTCAACTGTGTGAAAGTATCTATCATGCCCTGAGCAAGAATATACTTTCCCAGGTTACACTTAACCAGTTCCTTCCTTACCAGATGAAGTTGTTAAATTCTTCACCTTCACAGTCACCTCCTCTTAAGTTTTACCAATAACCTCTTTGAAACGGATATTCCAAGAACAAAACACAGTACACAAGATGTGTTCTAATCTACAAAGGAGGTCAAATTAAAATCTGGTCTTCGGGATATACAAGTAGAACAAAGGAGGCCAAACTTTGACTTGCCATGGCCCTCAGGGGAAGAACACCTGTGGTTTCTTCAAACCACTGAAACAGAGTAGGGTCAAATTTATGACCAGAAAAGATAAGCAACAGGGGCTGGGTAGCTAGAATGGAGGAGCAGTAGAGGCCACCCGCATCTCGACCCTGACCATCAGATGGATGACAACCCCACCCACTGGCCCCTTCAACCCTTTCTTCATGACCATGGGCTCCTAAATACATAAAGGTACTTCTCCCGTGACAAAACACAGAATGTGACATGAGACCTTAAGGAGCCACTACCCCTAGGAGAGCACAAGGACCTGAAAGGATTTAGCTCCTGGTCGGTCCCTCTGGTCATGATGAGAAAACAAGCAGGTCATGATCTACACTGTTTTTGCTCTACTCCCATAACAGAGAATCACTCAAGATTCATAACAAGGGAGGAATACGACCAGATCTGTGTTTCAGAAAGAAAATTCTGGTGGTCTAGGGAATGAGGAACCAGAGCAGGAAAGCAAGAGTGTCAAGAACATCAAGGGAGAGGGTTGCCAGGACAAAGCAAGGCAGAGCACAGACAGGACAGATTTCAGAGGGGAAAAAAAGGAATGGCTAAGGGGCACGTGGGTGGCTCAGTCATTAAGCGTTTGCCTTTGGCTCAGGTCATGATCCCAGAGTCCTGGGATCAAGCCCCACATCGGGCTCCCTGCTGAGCGGGAAGCCTGTTTCTCCTTCTCCCACTCCCCTGCTTGTGTTCCTTCTCTCAATTAAAAAAAAAAAAAAAAAGGAATAGCTGAATTTAAAATTTTACTTATTTATTTGACAGACAGAGATCACAAGTAGGCAGAGAGGCAGGCAGAGAGAAAGAGAGGAGGAAGCAGGCTCCTCTCGGAGCAGAGAGCCTGATGCGGGACTCGATCCCAGGACCCTGAGATCATGACCTGAGCCGAAGGCAGAGGCTTAACCCACTGAGCCTGGAATATTCCAGCCAGGCGCCTGGAATAGCTGAATTTGAAGGGAGATAGAAGTGACAGAACTTGACTAAGCAGGGGCTATGAGGGACAAAGGTCTAGTGTGACTTAAATTTCTATGTAGAAAACTGTGTGGATGGACGATTATGAAACTAGATAAGATAAAGACTACTAGAGAGGCTTCTGAGAAAAGAAAATGAGCTCAAAGCTTTCTGTGATGACACGGATATGCATATAGGCTATTTCAAAGGAGGTATCTGATTGGCAGTTAGATACCCAAAGCTGAGCAGAGAATTGAGAAAGTAAATAGAAATGAGAGTTACTGGTGGCAAAATAAATGTCGAATTCAAGGGAATAGATCAGAATATCCATGGATCCTAGGTAGAGCAGTATCTCTCAAAGTGTGACCTGCAGCTACTACCTGCACCGAAATCCCATGAGATGTACTTTCTTTCTTTCTTTCTTTTTTTTTTTTTTTGGTGGGCAGCAAAGCAAGGTTTATTGGGAGTACAGTAAAGTACAGATAGTACAAAGCTCCCGAGGAGGAAGGGAACGCGAGAGGGTTGCCCAAGATGTACTTTCTTTCTCCTTGAGTCAGAACCACAAGATGGCAATGGAATTCGACATTTTCAAACAAAGTTTGAGAATAATACTGGTATAAAATGGAGAAGAGGGGCCAAGATGAAACCACAGGGACTCTAAAGGCAACCAATAAATGAAAATAAAGTGGAAAAGGTAATAAAAGAGTTGCAATGAAAAAGCCAAAAGCGCAGAGTAAATGTCATGATTCCATCTTTCAGAGGACGCAGATTACCTGCTATAATCCCATCCATCTGCTCCAATGCTGCGGCCAACATGTCACTTGCGTCACTCATCATTTTGTTATTTGTCAAGGGCAAATTCCAACCTAGATCTGAAAAAACAATGATGTTACCATTATATCCTTTTAAATGACACATGCTTCCCAGCAGGTGTGACAGCTCAAGGCCAAATTACAACCCCACTTAGACGTCAGCTAGGGAGAGAAATTTTCTGAACTGGCAGAGCTGAATTACCTCAGTCACTTAACACGCTGTGGCAGACCGTCTACCGTACTGCAAGACCACACACTCCACTAGTTAATAAAATGAGTTTCAGTTTTTGCATGCAAGGTGTTGAAAGTCCAGTAGAACGGTTTCCATGATGCCCTCTCCAGAACTCGAGGCCTCTGTGGGATGGCTGTGGAAACTTCCTGAGGGCCATGAGGAATGCTCAGTAGAGGAGATTTCTTTCTTCCTGCACCAGCCCCACCCAATTTCTGCTCTTTCAGTTTGCCTTTGTTTCTGTTTCTGTTTTGTTTTGTTTTCTGTAGATGGATTTACCACAGGACTTGTCAAAAGGGTTTACTAGCAAACACACTGAACACACACATACAACCACTGGTATTTTGTAATACGACAACAACTACCATGTACAAGTGTCTATAGTGGTCCTTATACATAGACACAAATTATTCATAAGCCCTAATCATGACAACAACCCAATAAAATGGATACATTTGTCTCCATTAGATAGGTGATATCAACGATGTTTGTTGATTTTTGTACAGAAACACAGCAAATAAACATATAGTAAAGACCAGGTTTTAACCTAGGTCTGTCTGACTTCCACTACGATACATATTAAATTTTTGTTTATCTCATCTTATCTGAAAAATAGGCATATGCTGAAATTATGACATAATCTACTCACTCTTTCACCTGTTAAAAAACATATTGGAATTATTCTTGCAAAAAATTAATTATGAGCAAGTCAAGACTATGTGATTTCCAATATTAATTAATGCACTTCAAATACCAGACTAAGCACCCATGTGAATTCTCCCAAAAGGCCTAAATAGGGCCCTAGCTACTTTGCAGATACTATGGTATAGCAAATGTCTGGGAAATAAAGGATACGCTGTTTAAAAGAAAACTTTGCCCACTGTTTCCAAGCAGCCAGATCTCACCACTTTACTTTTATGAACATATTTATAGTTCTGATAAACAGCTTCTTGGATCAATTTTCTACTCTGCATTCATTCTGATAAGATGCCCTATCATCGTGAAGCATTGCTTTGATTTCATAGTTTTTAGAGATTTCGTTGCAGATTTCTCAGAACTTTACTCAACTTCTGAAGTTGTAAAGTATCACTACCATTTTTGTGGAAAAACTATGGCACAAAAGTACTCAAGGCAGGTGTTTGCAGTCACCCAGCAATTAGGAGTTAACAAAGCAAGGTTATGAACTTAGCTAGTTCTCAAATATTTACTTGCACAGTCCAGAGAGGTGGGAAGCAAATTTAATAGTCATAGTTCAGGATGAAAACTCAAAACTCAGTGACAACTGAGAACATAGAGATTTAAGCGGAAGACCATGCAGTCCCTGAATTTCATGTAATTAAGTGGCTTGCATTCCCTTTCATTTTAAAAGTAGCACTTCCAAGAGCTCCAGATACTACGATAAACATAAAAATAACACAAAGAAATTCAAGCCAGGCTCAGCTATAATGATGGCTAATAAAACAAAGTAATGCTCATATTAGAAAAACTCTCACCACCTCACTGAATTAGAAAAAACATATATTCATCTTTGTTAGCAATATTTGTGTGCAGCATGAACACTTTTCACAGACAACAGATAGTTACGTATTTCTTCTCTGTTCCATTCAACGAGCCTTTCAAATGCTCTGACACAGAGATCTGAGAACCTAGACCGTGGTTTTCAGAATGGTGAAGAACCAGTGGTTTTTTAAATTTCCAATCACTTGTTTAATAAATGACAATATTAAATTGCAATAAGTAGGGGCACCTGGGTGGCTCAGTTGGTTAAGCAACTGCTCTTAGCTCAGGTCATGATTCTGGAATCCCAGGATCGAGTCCCGCATCCGGCTCCCTGCTCTGCAAGGAGTCTGCTTCTCTCATTGACCCTCCCCCCTGTTATGCCCTCTCATTCTCTCTCTCAAATAAATAAACAAGTAAAATCTTTCTAAAAAAGAAAAATTAAAATAAATAAATAAATTGCAATAAATGTTTATGGATGCTTATCTCAATCTCTATACTTATCATGTAACAGCCTGCATATAATAGTTAAACAGTCAATAAAAATGTATTTAATACTGTAAACGAGGTAGGTGCTAAAGGGGAAAAATGGAGCAGGAAAAGGGGTTAAGAGTTTAGAAGGGTTTGCAAACTAAATGGGGTAGTCTGGAAGAATGATGGATTCAAAGGCCTATGATCTCTAATAAATTAGAAATAGTATAGGTGGTCTGCTTCAGAAGCAGTCAAAGGATAGAATTCCTACAAACTGATTTTAAAAAGGGAGAGGTGAGGACATGAACAGATATATCATAGAAATTATCTCCAGCCAATAAACACTTAGAGGCTTAATGTCATTAATACAAGAAATTTTAGGGGCACCTGGGTGGCTCGGTAGGTTAAAGCCTCTGCCTTCAGCTCAGGTCATGATCCCAGGGTCCTAGGATCGAGCCCCGCATGGAGCTCTCTGCTCAGCAGGGAGCCTGCTTCCACCTCTCTCTCTGCCTGCCTCTCTGCCCACTTGTGATCTCTGTCTAATAAATAAATAAAATCTTTAAAAAATATATTTAAAAAAATACAAGAAATTTTAGACAACAATGTGATACCATTTTATACTTAGTCAACTGGGGGAAAAAAAACTGACATTACCAAGTATTACAGAGGATGTGGATTCACAGAATCTCTTACAGAATGGCGGTGGGAATGTAAAATGGCTTAACCACTTGGAATAACAGTTTTGCATTGTCATCTAAACTTCAACATATTCATTTTCACGCTAACAATATTTACTCCAAGGTACATAATCATGAACACACACAAATGTTCATGGTAGGACTCTTTGCAAGGCCAAAAACGTGGATACAAACCAAATGTCCAACACAAGAGATGAATAAACTGGTGTATTTACACAACAGAATTACATACAGTTGTCAAAGCTAACTAAAGCAATATATGTGTTGTGTGAATAAATCTATGCAGTATAATAGCAAATAAAAATAAGTCTCCAATAAATTCAGTGAGACTTAGAAGTTAAAACAATATAAATTTAAATATATTTTAGAAATACATGTAAGATTCAACAAAACTATAAATACAAACAAAAGAGAGGAAACAGTAACATGAAATTCAGGATATGTCTACCTCAAGTCAGGGATATGGGGGGATAGACTGAGAGGAAGACTTACATAGTTAAATAAAGGTTACTGTTTAAGTTTTTGAGTTAGGTAATGGGTTCAGAAGAGTGCTTAGTTTATTTAACATGACAAAATGAGAATTCCACTTCTGATAATGGTGAAGTAGATTAATTGGACAAACTACCCCACAAATAGCAATACAAAGCACTGGATAAAATATAAAAACGGTTTTGAAGAAACTAGAGAGTGAGCAAAAGCTGGTAGAAATTGGAGGGAATTCAGCTCTTGAGTAAAGGGAACCATAATGAGTGAGATTCATTTTTATACCTCTTTTATCTGTGGGCACTTCCCAGTCCATGGGAGGGAGAGTAGCTAGGATCATGAAGAATATCAAAATCTTATTGGCTCAAAGGGAAGAAAGGGGTAAATCTCTTACTTATACACAAAGATGTTTAATACTAATTCATGGTAGACAGTGATAAGAATATACAATGCAATCCATTAAGATTACAAAACAGAGAGATATTAGTAAAAAGCCAATTAAGTTAATGAAATGGAATACTAATAAAATCCTCAATCCAAAAGAAGGCAATAATGGAACAATGAGGAGATGGGAGAAACAGAAATCAAATGGCTCGATGGTAGATTTAAATTCATATAAATAATTATATTAAATAGAAACAGAATGAACACTATTAAAAGCCAGAGATTGTCAGACTGGCTAAAACAAACAAACAAACAAACAAAAAAAAACCCACTAACAATATGCTGTTAATAGAGCTATACTTTAAATATAAAGAAATAGAAAATAAAAGGATGCAAAATGAAATACCATATACACAGTAAGCCCAAGGCATGGCTTTATCAATATAAGAAAAATGGCTTTCAATTGAGAAGTATTACCAGAAAGAGACAGAGTTTATAACAATGATCAACTCATCAGGAAGTCATAACAACTGCACATGTTTTTGCAACTAATAACAGAGCTTCCAAATATACAAGGCAAAATCCAACACAATTAAAGGAGAATCACATAAGTCATTTATATTTGATGTAATTTTTGATATGGTTAGATTTAAGTGTATGGTCCTGTCCTTTTTCCAGTTTTGTTTTGTCCCACCAATCATTTTCAACCCTCTTTCGGGAGAGCAAAGGCAGATACAAGGTAGGAAAAAAAAATCAGCAATAACACAGAAGATTTGAACAATAGCGTCAATCATCCTGATCTAATTTGATTTATATAAGGAAACACCCAAATGCAGGACATACATACTTTTCAAGTCCACATGTTATATTCCTTAAGATATTCCACATCCGAAAGGCAACAAAGTCTCAATAAATTCCAAATGGACTTCAAAGGACTACACAGAAGAGTAAAAACAGCAAACTGAAGTGGTAAAGTACTAATGTTAAAATAGAATTTCCATGTTTGTTAAAATTCTGACTTGCCCATTGGCTTGAGTTACTTCAGAGGCAGCTTAATTTAACGAGCATCTGTGTTGATAAAACTGTGTCAACTTTCATGGCTGGATCGAAGTATTTTTAAAAATAGAAAGGCAAAATGGAAAGGCTTCAGAAAGTCCTATGCTCTAAAAAGATTTTCCTATATCCCAAAACCATTTCTGAGAGGAAGATTCCCCTGGAATCCTTACATACTCAATACAATATTACTCCAAATACACTGAGAGGAATGTTACTCCACATTAAAAAAGACTGAACTACTG